CCATCCTTGGCACTCACACCGTAACTGTGGAGGCGTCAGTGGTGGACGAGAGTGGCACCGAGTGGAAAACGGGGCCCAGGACCACCGTGTCTGTGAAGTCCCTGGAGGATCCGTACTCCCAGCAGCTGAGGCACCAGCTGCAGCAGGGCGGTGCCCCGACTCCCCCTCAGCGGGGGGCATACAACCGCTTTTAATCCATGGGACATTTCAAGGTTTAGACAGTGTGGTTTTGTAGAAAGATATTGTGTACATAGATTTGATTAAATGATTAATTTTTACTGCAGTGAAATGATTTGAAAATGTGTGAAGGACAAAGACAGCAACCGCTGACCATTTGTGGAGTTTGGACACCATAGGAAAATGTCTTTTCAATTTTCTCTCTATTTAATTCCAATGAATTTTTATTACATACATATGGAAGACAATCGGTACCATAATACTAATCAAAATGCATTAGCAGATACATTTTTTCATTTTCAGAATATACCTCAATTCTTCGACTCATAATGAAATTAAAAGAAAAATTAATAATTTTCAATTTTTCTCTAGCATGTAATTACCCAAATTTATTTTGAAATGTGAAATTTGTAAATTAAAATGCATTAGCAGGATGCTTTTTTATTAACCACCACGTCCTGTCGCTGGAGGACTGAGAACTGATTATTAATTTTATTTGAAAGTGCAGGTATCTACTGAAAAGGATGCATTTTTAACATTTAAAAATGAAATTTGGTTCTTAATTGCTGGGGGCAAATTTTGAAACACATTTTTAAAAGGTCATAGAATGAGCAGTCTTGAAGAAAATGCAGTACGGATGATTGATTGTTTATTTTTAAAAATGCAGGTATATTCTGAAAATGAAAAACATTTCTGCTACTGTTTTAATTTGATGCATTCATTTTTAGAATCGTTGTGTTCTGAATAACCTTGGATTCACTCTGCATGAAGTGTATTACCAAAGTGCGCCACAGGGGGGCAGAAAAGTGATTGAGTCTAACTTTTTCCCCTCAAACGTCAGAGTGAATTGAACAATTTTCAGAAACACGGAGTCACACGGTCAAAATGTGTGATTTCAGCTCTGTCATTTTACAGCAAATTGACCGGTTCTCTGAAACTTAAAGTAATTTATTTATTTTGATAACTGTCACCACAGCATGTTACTTAGTTGTAAAACAGTCAGAGTCATTACAGTAATGGTTTCATCTTGTGCTGTTATTGTGAAAGTCAAAAGGGAATAAACATCAAAAGCTGGATGGTAAACTCGTTTCCGAGATGTATTTTAATTTTTAAACCCAACACTAAAAGTGTATTTGTGAAAGGACTGTCATGAATTAAGAAATTCACTTTTTTTTATGTGATTAATTAAGCCGTCAGTACTTGACATCAGGGAGTTTGCGCACTGTATGCCACAGACTAGCGTCTGGTAAATTGAGTAATCTGAAACCTAGCTTAAAGTTAGATTTCCGAAAAATGTTTTCAAAATAAAATTAACTCTTACTCGATGTGTGGATATACAGTATGAGGGGTGAGGGGTACGGGGGCAAAATTCACGATTCATTCTCTGGATTACATCAAATATCTGTCAAAAAACACCTTTAACTAACTGTTACATCAGAATCGAGTGTCAGAAGCATAATCCTAATTTGAGAAACCTAAGAAAGTTATTATTTTCTGAAGAGACAGCAGTCGGAACTTTAATCAAATTTTGAGGAAATATTTTTAAATAAACAACAATTGGGAGAATATCTCAATTCAGCGTGACAAATGTATCCGAGTGAAGAGAACAAAACGTGACTTGATGGTAAGTTTTATTTTGAAGGCCAGCCTACTTTGTATTCGGTCTAGTGGATTTGATGTGTAACTTGATGCCGTTAAGAAACGGGGTCTGGAGGAAGATAACGGGTGCTACCGCCACCAGCCGAGAAAAGAGAAAATCTGGTCTGGGTTTAATGTGAGGATCAAATGTGATGAGAAGAACAACACAGTGTGTACGGAACTGGAGCAGCAGCAGCTAGGTTCGGAGGCCCAGCCCAATCCGACCAGAACCGAACCCCCCGGCACCCGTCTCTCTTCATGGAAGCTTAGTAGCTAGGCTAACTTAACGACGACAGCGTTAATGATGATGGTGGTAATGATGATGATGCAGAACCTCCGCTGGATTTATCCCGGTATCTCTCACTGACATGGAGCCAGCGACGGTCCGCTGGAGCCGCTTGCCTACTAGTTAGCTACAGTCAGCTAACGGAGCCCGCCTCCCGGATATCGTTAGCTGAATGGGTACAACCGCGGTGTGTCGTCGCATTACCGGACTATTTCAGAGCTGTGCCGGTGTTTGGGTTTGATGTAGGGGCATCATGTCTGCTAGCACCACTGCTAACTTCACCGTTTAAAGGAAATACACACGTGATACACTTTATCTCGCCCCTGCCTCCAGCAAATAGCCCGGACCGCCCTTGGATGCTTCACTGACATTTACTTGGTGAGTATCAGGACTAAGACTTTCAGTAAACATTAGAGGCGGACTATTTTCCGTTTTTATTTTCTTTTGTTTTTTTGTAAACTCAGCGTGCTGCTAAGCTAACAGTAGGACGTGTAGTGGTCGATCACCTCCCGTGTGGTATGGTCCTTTTATGGTCCTGTCTTTACATGCATTACATTACATTAGTGCTGCAGTCACGAAATAACTCTCATCCACAGGCCAACATACATGTAGGGCCACAGGATTAGGTACATACGGAAATGCTGACTTTAATCACTGAGGAAGAACTCAAAATAATGCCCTTAAAGTCATAATTTAAAAAAGTCCAATTTGATCCATTAATTAAAACTGATTCCAGTTAATTAGTTCTTAAAAACACAGAATTTGGGCTGTGATCTTTGTAGGCAATGGCTTAGAATTCAAAGTATAATTCCAGAATTCCAAGCAACAAGTTGCACTTCAATGAAAAGTCTGAATTCTAACTTCAGTTTTAGAATTCCAACTTTAACTTATTTTTTAAGTTCTAATCTTTTCCCTTTAATTGTAAAGTTCTATTCATATTAAAAATGTATGTCCTGGGAATTTAACACAGAATTGAGTTTTTTAAAAAGTGAACATTTTTATTACATTTATTTTTATTAAAAGCCACACTTCAAGGAAAATATTAGAACTTCATTATCAAGAAGTTGTATTCATGACATTACTTTGCTTTTTTTTAAAAAAAATCTAAGAATTTGTTAGTTAAAAGTAGTAACCCTTACTATAATCACATTATTTTAGGATTTAAAAAAAACAAAACAAACATCTGACTTGCAAGAGTGCTTATGGTTGTCAAGCCTGCCTGCAGTCCGACATGTCTGCTATAAAGTCAACGTCCACTTGCTAAATTTTTACAAAAGAACCGTCCTGTTTTGTTTTGGGGTTTTGTTATATTTTCATTAAAAAAAAAACAACGTTTTTGCCAATGGTTCTTTGAAACGTACAGCGCTTTATTTACAATTACAGGAGTGATTCTGTAAATTCCTATTATCCTCGCCATTTGGAACTTTTAATCCATTCCTCTGTACAACATGAAAAGTTTGGTTTCAGGAACACCTCTGGGCGACTTACTGTATGTACAGTTAGTTCGTTCTGTGTAAACACGTGACACAGGTTGTATATTTAAATAAGCCAAGCCCCAGGTACTTACTGAGTAACTAAATAACCAACTAACGTTTGCTGTTACCATTGCTTCTGTGTCTGTCTGTCTGTCTTTCAGACGGTGTGTATCAGGATGGCACAGCTCCTGGACGGGGCCAGCAAACTCTGCTGGCTTCTCCTCAAGGCTGTGACTCGCTTTGTGTTCATGTTCATCAACAACTGTGTAGCCATACCATCCTACTGCCTATACCTGCTGCTGCTGCAGCCGCTGAGGATATGGGACAGCCCCGCTTTCTGGCACATTGAAGGAGTCATGTTCAAGTGGTTGCTGGCCATGGTGTCGTCATGGGGCTGGATCGCAGGCTACACAGGTAAGGTAGTCAGTGTTATGTGGGGTTGTGAGGAATTCTCTCTTCTTCTTTTTTTTTTGCTTTCGTTTGTTGCATCAGAGCAGAAATGAACAAAACAAAGTTTTTAGTTAAGTTTGTTTCACTTATGTGCTATATGTTCTTGACAGTGCTGGACGGTTAGTTATCTTTTTATTCCTACTTGTTTTCTTTGCTATTTTTGAGCTTGTTGTTGTTTACTTGTTTTCTTTGCTATTTTTGAGCTATTGTCTTGACTAATCAATTGCTTAATTGTAACTAAATTTAAGCCACATTTTTCAATAGAATTTTAGGATAATTTTGTTCATTTTTACCTTTCGTCTTGATGAACACTCGTTAGACTTTGACTATGTTTTAAGATAGACATTTTCTTGCCAAGTCAGACATTTCTGTCTTCTCCATGTATTACAATACTCCAGTACTTTTTATTGATGGAGCTTAGTACTGAATCGGTTCCACAAACACTTCAACAAAACACTTTTCTGGCCCATATGGAAGGCGGACAGTGGGATATAATTAGCTGTTGGTAAATCCTTTCAGCTGGCTAGTTGAATATTTTGCAGTGATTGAGGCTGTCACTGGTGTAAGGTTGCACAGAGACCACAGTAAATGCTTACAAATTGCTAAGTGGTGAACATGGGGAGCAACAAGGCGGACTAATTAATAATTCAGAGCTTTCCACCTATGGAACACCTGCTCTTTTGTTGAGTAATATGTGTGACAGACCCATGACAGTCTTTGGAGATTGTAATCTCACGCTGGGTTTATGGTACTCTGTCCCATGGTTCACAATTAGTTTTTTAATTTATTAGTCAGTGGTTTGAGAGTCTTTGAATATTTAATATTCTGCTTATGCACATTATTTAATCCGTCTTAGTGCATTACAAACAGATGAAACTTTAAGATGTGTGTTGGCTAACCTTTAGCTATGCTTTTTGGTGATTTCAGGGTGTATTGTACTTGTATTTGTGGCTATTTTGACCTAGTATTAAGCTAGTTTTGTCATGGCAAACCTTTAGCTGTTGTAGTTATGTAATTGAACCTTTAATTTTAGTTTCTGGCCCTGGCCTGAAGAATTGCAGATGTTGCTTTTGTTTTTTTGTTTGGTAATTTTTTTTGGGTTTTTTTTTTTTTTTTTTGCAATAACAATGCATCATTTCACCATTCACAGTTGGAGCCACAAAGTCCTTTAAATGTCACTTCATTGCAGTAAAGCTCACGTGATGAACCCACGTGGGGCATAATGACATGAGGTGAGGTAATGCAGAGATAAGAGCCTTCAAATGACAATGTTCCAGGTCTTTTTACAACCAACAGGAAAATAAGATAAAAGCAGAACTGATAAAATGCAGGAGCATTTTGACATGTGCCATGTACAGTCTCTTCAATGACACGTTTGCCCTTTGAATTTGGTGTTTCTTCCAAAGAATGCGAAAACACAACATGAGTTTAGTTTTAAATTGGCTTCAATAAAGGCAGGTAACTGACAGGGAGTCAGATCTCTGCAGCAACATATCCAAAACAGATATGTTTCAGCTATTATCTTTAATGTCACTTTGACATTGCTGTCGGTGTGACATTTAAACTCGCTAAGCTCACAGTATTGGTGCACCTGGAGTGTGCTGGAGTGCCAGTACGTTGACCTGAACTCGTGGCCACGGGGACTAGGAGGAGTCGATTAACCCTGGTACCTTTCCCTCACGAGGACGACCTGTGTAACCACCGTATCTACACAAGTGACCTCTGAATCTGGGCTGTTGGGGGAAAAAAAGCTTTGAGTTTATTGGAGTTCACGTGCTAACAAGTTACAGTCACAGTTATATTTTCTGCATCCCTCCATTTTCCCCAGGTAGCTGTTGATTAGAAATGTTTCCAAAAAGGATTTCTTTATTTAACTTTGCATACAGAATTATATCATCTTTGCCTGTCTTTGAGTCAGAGCCTAGAAAAGAAACCTTTGGCGTAAAGTGAAGAGTAGAGTGTATACCAAAAAACATCAACTCAGAGATCTACAACAAATAATTAACCAGAAGAGTTGCCTGAAGTTTTTAAGAAAAGTTGTCTTCATGGTAACAGTAGATCATAAAACAATGAAGCTGACAGAAGCAGTTGTTGTATTTTGAATAATTGTACTGTGATACCATCACAATACAATATTACATATTTACCAGAGCACTACCTTGTACTGTAGTAAGCGGATTTACTGTTAATATAGAACCTGATCCCGTCTGCTCTGTGACTAAAGCAGTACCTCAGGTTCAACCAGACTCCCTGTCTTCCTCAAATACACAGTGGCCACAGACGGATGCACTGAAGCTGGCAGGATTAGGTTCTTATTATTTGTTTGATGAACAGGTGTTCACTTGGATCTGTGAAGGGACTCAGTACAGAGGCTGTAATATCCAAAGCACTTCACATCACCTTTTATAAGCAAAGACAAATGATCAATTTGACAAAGCCATAATTAGATAATTCATTGATTCAAAATGATCATGAAAAGTTGTTTTGACAGCAGCAGTGTAGTCAAGTGGACTGACGACCCAGTCCAGCTGTGCTGTAACAGGAACCAGACATTTGATCACTTTGACCACAAAAGGTTTGTTAGCTGGACTCGTGTTCCCTCTTACCTCATACAGAAAGCCTGTCGTTATTACCAATACTAAACTTGTGATCTTCTTGCTGTCTTCATATTTATTTTCACAGACTTTCACTCATATATCTTTTTAATCAAATGGCAGCAGTCAGTCAGTCAACGCTGGGCATCGTTGACAGCGTAATTACCAAAATAAAGCTCACTTTGGCCACTTTAACATTATGAGGTGTTAAATTTACAGCTTTATAATAATCTCAGACATTGTGTATTGATGGAGTAAACTAAGCAGTGACCAGCAGATAGAGACACTATTTGGCTGAACCAATTGTGTAGTAAGTATTTTTGGCAGAAATCAAGTAGTATTTAATACACTGGTCAAACCCACTTACTGTGGGCAGAGGAACCCTGGGTTGGACCTTGACATTTGTTTGGTTAAGATAACAGTGGCAGCACAGATTGATCAGATGGCTTTTCATTAATGGGTAAAAGTCCACTGCACTGTCCAGTTCAACCTCAGTGGGGTTTTTTTCCAACAGTGTATACTCACACAATTAAGTACACATTTATAAGGAGTGGTAATGTGTGTGAAAATAAAGTATTTTGTAGGTGAATAGTAAGAAAGAATTTGTTTATCAAATAATATGAAGTGCCTGGAGGTAAAGCGGTTTAAAATTAGTTTTCTTCCAAAGAAAGTTCTGTTGAGATGTCGATGGTGTGAAAGCCAATTAACATGACTTAGGTTCTGCATGTTTGCATAAGGAGGGCTGATGTTTTCTCTCTGCCAGTGTGGGAGCCTGCGGGGCGTTGATGTGAATGAGCGACACATTGTGGTGTAAATCAGTATTATAATGTCGACCTGTTGTGATGCAGTTCAGCCCAGGTTAAAAACTGTGGATAGAAAGTGAAAGTGAAATCAAGATGGTGGGTGTTTGTGGTTGCTGTGGGTTGGTGATAACACTTGAAGAAAACATGTTTGGGCTTAACCAGCTTTGTAGCTCGGTGTTCAAGTGTCTGTGGTCGACGGTTTTACCCTGATATTGTAACCTGGCTTTGACAAAAAAAACAAAAAAACAAACAAAGAGAGTCAGTAGTCCAGACTTGAGCAGAATCTTAGCCCTGGTGAGTGACTGTGACTGTCTAGCTCTGGCCAAAGTTCTACTCCTCGAGTGCCAGCTGTTTCCAAAACATTATACAGAGCTGAAGCAGTAAACACTCCACTGCAATAAGCCGCTATCTAGAAATATATTACTTTGATGTCACAGTGAACACACCACGTGTTAAATATGCAACCACTGGGTCACCTCAATGTCACTGAGAGCAGGTCCTCTGTTTTTACTCTTCTTTTTTTCCTATCTCTCCAACACAGTTGCTCATGTTTTGGACAGTATGTTTTTAAAGATATTTTGTTTCGTGGGGAACTCCTACTGATAGCGTTGAGCATCTCTCTCCTCCACTCCAACGACAAGGTCAGCAGGGCATTTTCTAGCTGACCACCTGAAACCTGATTGGACACAAAGCTCACAGTGTGGCTGTCATGATGCTGCTCTAACTGTGTCATCTCTCAAAGACAATTTCCCTAATGCATTCTATCCAACAGATGACCTATCTCTGTGATATAATTTATGCCTGTCTCCCACAACGTTGGGAACTTCAGAGAGCAGGAAATGCACGCTCCTCGTGAAATGACATTGCCTACGGGGTATGAACATCCCAGACACCCCTGTCCAAGTGTCACAGATGTGTCATTTTTTTTTTTTTTTGAGAAGCTCTTGATTTTCATCCCAGTGAGGATTGGTCGTCTTCTCTACAGCATGCCAGCAAACTATCCAACACCAATTTGCCTTTTCTAACCCCATGCAGCTGCAGGGATTTAAACCCCCTCTCACTGAGGCAGATTCCAATCAGTGTCGTTCCAGGGAGAGTGAGTGGTCTTCCTGAAGGGTCCATCTTTGTATGCCTTTCTCTTGCTCTAAGTGTCTTGACCACAAAGCCTACACTGTGTGAGACCAGGTCAAGCTGGCTCTAAGGCACAGCATCTTAACAATACCCTTTGTATGAGATCACTGTCGATGTGAAGTAAAAAGACAAGGTTGAGACAAATTGATTTGTTAATCCTTTTGTCACAGGTCTGTTAAATTAACTTAGTTTGTCAGGGATGCACAACATGGACTTTTTTTTAATTAACTTTTTTAAAATTACAATCTGATAACAGATAATTACGTGGTCCTCGATACAGAGGAGATAACCCAGAATTAAACATTTTCTATTAAAGACATAATGACCTTCATATGATGTTATCCTCATGTCAACAAAGCAGTAAAGAATAGGTCAGAGGTCACTGCCTATTGTTGCACTTTTAAAACACCTAAATTAAATAAATAAATAACACTGTTTTTAGCCTCTGTGCTAACAACAACATCCAGACTGCTGCCTGCACACGGTCACCACATGTGTCAGTTATGTTTCTTTGAGTCAGTCAGTGATTGATCTTAGGGTGATACTAGAACACAGATAGCTGTAATAATTTTCTAAGTGCTTATGGCATAACATCCTTATCTGTATCTGATAGTATCTCTGCCCGTAGACAGTTGTCATTGTTCTGTGTGCAGGGGCTTTTCTACCAGAGGTGGTCCTGGAGCAGCTGCAGCTCAATGTTTGAAGGAATATTCATTATCTCTGTCCTGGAGCAGCTGCAGCTCAATGTTTAATATTCATTATCTCGCTAATGGCTGAGCTAATGGCAGCTGCCCAAAATTGAGTAATTTTTGTATGTACAAAGAATACCAGGATACAAAGACATCTGATCTCTGCAACAACGATGAAGTATATATTATTTGGGTATTTTCACACATGGAGTTTGTAGAGATGGATTACAGTATTCGCAGCATCTTTATTCATGGGAAATCTGGTCTTTACCTCCAGTGTTAATACAAAAAAAAAAGAAGTTGAAATTATTGACATTTTATTCCATTTAAAGTTGTGGAAAGCCACATTTAAGAGAAAGTATCTGCAAAGTCAAAAAGAAAAAAGCAGGAAATGAGTCATATCTCCTTAACAGTTTGTCTCATTTAAAATAGATCTGCATGATCAGAACAGACCTCATTGTACTTGTGATGTGTACTTGATCTGATATGCCTCTGTGTACCCAAAGAACTGCAGGATACAGCTATATTTTAGCTTGGTGTTATTTATATCTGTCCATCTCAGTGTTATACATTCTCACCTTGTGATGTTACGCTTGAAAAGAATTTCTATCACTGTGGTAGTTATCGTTTGAAGAAATGCACAAAGACCTGATGTCTTGTTCTGACAGGAAGTAGAGGATGTGACTCATTTTTTTTCAAGTGGCTTTTTCATCAGGGAGCCCATTGTTATGTGGTGACACATTCTTAGGAAAATGACTATAAAATCAGAGTGTTCAGACTGTGATCTTTGTCATGTTCCTGCTGCGTGTTCTTTTCTGGAATAAATGCAGGCGAACTGAAAGAACGGACGCACAACTCCAAATACAAAGTCTGAATGTTCTCACAGATGTTATAATAATGTGCCTTTCAGTGAACCATATAGTTTTTCTTGATGGCTTGGGTTGCATTTATAAAATTGCCAAAAGAAAACAATGAGGTCACTTGAGTCTAAGCCTATTTTCTCATTTCTGTTCAGCCCTTAATTTACCCTCATCTTGCCTTGCAGTGACAGAGTGGGGCGACGACGTCCGGCCCATCTCTGAGGACGAAGCCATGGTCATTGTCAACCACCAGTCCACAGGAGACGTGTGCACACTCATGATGTGCCTGCAAGACAAGGGCACGGTAAGACCATAGATAAAGACCGAACATGTTACGGATTTTATTTTCTTCTGGAAAATCCAAGAATGGAGCCTTGTTAAGACTGTGTGAGGTGACGTGACGTGACGTGACTTTAAATCAAACTTGGAGATGTGTAAACCTACAGGGTGTTTATTGCACAAGCTGCTGTCTGATCATGTTTGTGTCACTTCATTTACACCCACAGCTATGTACAACACTCATAAAAGCCATTTGATCATTGTTTCCCAGAAACTCTTTTGACAAAGCAGTGTTCATTTTGTCAACTTAATATTTATAAAAATATTGCACATTGCATTTCAGTTCATTAAATTTCATAGATAAAAACAAAAGTGAAATTCAAATGGCTCTATTGACTAAATTTAGACAATTCAGTCAGACGACCGGGTCTAAGACAAAATCAACCAAATAAACGTATACAGTGGTATCATTTTCACGTTTATGATAACTATCATTATATTTAGTTTTGTTGATTGAACCCACTGATAGGTCATTCATTTATTATTTATAATAAGGAGACACAACTTTTTTTTATTTCCAAAGTGACAGTAGTCTAATCCAGTAGAGACGAAGAGCAGAACAAAGGCATCACTGTGGTTTGATGCATTCAAATAACAATATGTGAGTTCAGGCAGCCAGCAGCAGATGTGTTGAGTCTCAAGCGCTGGCTTGTTTTGCATTCTTTCACACCGAGTTAACAAGAATGGAAGCAGGGCATGTGCCAACATGCCTTTTTTTTCTCACTATGGTATAGATTATTAAACTGCAGGTTCACACAATGAGACATGTCGTTCACACCACCAGGTGTGATTTAACAGACAGGAATACGACTGGTATTTATAGTAACAAAGAGGAAACAATGTCAGTGTGTTTACGTTACTCTGCTCTGTTCCATTCAGTTCTATTCCATTTCCTTTTAAAACATTGTGCCAAAGTGTGTGAGCAGACCTACACAGGCACAGAGGCGTTATAAGGTGGCAAGAAATATATTAGCTGTGAAGTGTTGTTTCTAAGATTCTGTAAAGTTTCAGAAAGTGATTGATTCTCAAACACTTGATTGTCACACGTTTTCTTTACCCATGCCAGTAACAAAACAACACTGTAGCAGTGTGTCCTTTATTATGCAATGTGAAAATCAAAATCATCCCAAAAGCCAAATAAGTGCTTGTACCGGTGCAATTTTTAATTAATTTCTATTTGGTACAAATTGTTTATTTTTTATTCTTTTTTTCCCAGGTGGTAGAGAAAATGATGTGGTTGATGGACCATGTGTTTAAATACACAAACTTTGGCCTAGTGTCCTTGATCCACGGGGACTTCTTCATCAGACAGGTAAGAGAGAGTCGTTGTGCAAGCAACATTTAGGAAAAATAATAATCATCTTCAAGCATCAGTCAGATGTTGCTCCTGATCACGGCTTGCACTTGTTGAATGTCTGCCCTCACTGAATTCACAGCTAGAAAACTACTGGTGTTGCTTTTTCAAAGTCTCTGCATTAGCCTTAAGGCGACAGCGACAGTTGTCACTGGGAGATAAGGGAATGTCTCTGTCACTTGTCAACACTTCGGTTCCTCCTTCAAGTTCTGAGGGTGTGTACATTAGGCCATTAGGACAAACCTGCCACAAGCAACACGTGCAAAGAAAAACAGCGGTTTCTCAAGGCAACAGGTGGTGCTGCTCCACCCAGAGTTTAAAAGCAGCAAAAAGTTGATGACTGTGTCTGTGAGTATATGTCCTGTGGTCTCAACTGGACAACAGATACATTCTTCTGTTCTCTGAAAAGAGCTACAGTTGTGGACAGTAGTGTAGGAGGAGAATACAGCCACCCAGAGTCAGACTGACCCTGGGTCGGGTCGTAAAGCCCCCTCTCGGTCAGACTGCCTCTTTGTTGTATGAACAGCTGGAACAAAGCTTCCTGCCTGGAGCTTCCTAGTCAGTAGAATTCCTTGAATATCAGGTAGTTTCACATTATAAAGGCTAAAATTAGCTATATTCACTGATAAGATGCTCATTGTTGCCCGTTTGTATCTACAGCGTTCAAAGTTTTTTTTTCTGCAAAATCTGGAAAAAAACTAAAACATATGACCAAAACATTTATGTGTAACACAGTCACAAAAGATCTGCAAACCTTTCCTACATTCATTCATTGTAATTATCACCTTCTGCTCAGGTGATGTCTGCACTGCACATTTGTTTTCCCCAGTGGTTTTTGAGCTATGTGACACCAGTCTGATATTTGCAGACAGCTGTTGGCCAGCACCGGCAGCTCAGTGGGATCATTCACTGAACACACGACATTTACATACACTGTGGCAGGTGTGCATCCGTTGACACTGCTGACGTCACTGTGTATGTAACTCTTGATATGTATTCATTATGGTCTGTCAAAACATAGATTCTTTTTGTAAAGGCAACTTTGATGTCAGGGGGAAAAAATAAAAATTGCGAGACATTTTTTTCATCTGGCCCAACAGACTCCTTCAGAATAAATATTTGGTGTACCTGCTGAGAAAGAGCAACAGCTGCTGTTTTTGGCAGCTGGACAAGAATCCACACATATTACATCATCGTGTCAAATTATAGAAATCTTAATAACCAAACGCATTTATTTTTGTCAGCTCCTAAATGGAAAACAGCCCACGCATTCTTTACTCACAATTTGTCAGCTGCAGATGTACAATGGCTGGAGGGAATGGTGTTTTTAGGTCACAGAAATGCTCTGACATGGAATTTTACATCTGACACTGCGCAGAGGCTGAGGCGCAGTGTGTCCGACAGAAGCCTCGGTCAAATCTTCCTCTCTGTGTGGACTCCCCCACCCTCCAACCTCCCTCTGTAATTCTTGTGTGTATTTTGCTGACATCCTCCCCCAGAAAATTTCACAATTCAACAAAGCACAGCAAGCATCCGCCCAAGGCAGCAAAGAAATCTGATGTCCACTGAAGCTGGCGCCATTAAGCACAGAAGAACAGGCGCTGATTTGATTGCAGTCCTAAAGAAACTCGCAGAGTTGCACCTTTTCAATATTTGAAATGTGGGACCATAGATTTAAGAGCCTTCACAGAGGACGCAATACAACAGGAATTTTGAAACTCATAAATTATGAGAGAACATAAAAAAAATGTTAAAATGATGTGAATCACATCAACTGTTAGTAATAACCCCAGGTCATTACTGAAATGGTGGTCATCTCATTAAAATGAGAATTGCTGGCACATTTGCTTGTTTCTGACGTAACCTGGTAGTAACTGAAGTTAAACGTTTTTGTACGTTTTCTGGAAAAAACAGAAACTGAAAACTGAAAATTCTGCGTCTGTGAGTTGGATGTAGATAGAAATTTTACACCAGAACGACTATGTTGTTAATTTAAAATAATCATCGAGGCAAAACAAAATGACTTGTAAAGGAAAAAAAAATCAGATGAACTTTGAGTTGTTTTTCATATTTTATACGTAGATCAGGTTTTTCTGGACCCAAATGTATATATTTATGTTTATAGCCACTATCAACAGTACAGTATTCACACTCCACAACATTTGTTCGTCTGTCTATCTATGACTGTCCCTGCTGCCACTTAAAACTAAAGCATTTGAAAGCGTGGCTGCAAAACAAACCTTGCACTAGCAAGATATGAAGTAGCACCAGACCAGCTGTGGATACACCAAGAAAAACTAATAGACAGAAAACTCTGAGGTCCAACATACAAAACATGATTCGTTCACTTAGAATAGGAAAATCTCCCCAGTGCGTTTCCTTCATTTCTCTTGTCGCTCACGCAGCTGCAAAAAACTAGAGCAATTGTCTCAAGGTCAAGTTTTGTCTTGTTTTATGGCTGTCCTCTTGCTCTAATGCTCTCCTCTTTGCATGTGTGCATCAGACTCTGACATTGCAGCTAATAATAGTTCTTCACAGGTTCATGTTGTAGCAGAAAGATTCTTTTTTTTCCATTTGTTTTCTCTATTCTAAGCCTGCTCCGACTTCTCTAATTGCTCTCTTCACAGGTTCATGTTGTAGCAGAAAGATTCTTTTTTTCCCATTTGTTTTCTCTATTCTAAGTCTGCTCTGGCTTCTCTAATTGCTCATAAACGACCCTTTTCGAAGCAAACTTTTGAGATCATACTATCAAAATATAAAAAGTCAGACTCAAATTTTTGTCTTTTTGATAGCTTAATTATTTTCACCCATAGAAATTTTAAAAAGCACGTGCTCTCAGAACCTACACACACAGGAAATCTCTGCTTTGCTAATGCATTCCAAATGGCTTCTGACCATTTGGCCTAACTTGAAAATCAATCCAGCTCCTTCTAGTCCCCTCCATGCTAATGCTCTAAATGCTGTCAAGCCAGTCATGTTTTGCAGCCTTTCCACTTGTGTTGGTATTGTTTCTAGTGCACCACAGCACCAACTGTTTCCAATAGTTTTTTTTTTACTCCAGCTGTAGTTGTCACTGTCCATAATCCTTCAAAGATGTGCTGCACGCTGGTCGTTTAGATGATGTATCCTGTCTTTTCCATCAGGGTAAAGCTCACCGAGACAAGCAGCTGATCTACCTGAAGGATCATCTAGAGAGGTACTACCACAGCAGGGACAGGAAGTGGATTGTGCTGTTCCCTGAAGGTGGCTTTCTGCGCAAGCGGCGGGAAACCAGCCAGTTATTTGCCAAGAAGCGCTCGCTCCCCCACCTGACCCACGTCACGTTGCCTCGTCTCGGGGCATCACACGTCATTCTGAAGACCCTGTCTGCCCAGCAGGAGAATGGCAGTGTGGGCATGGACACGGTGACGCCTAACCAGAGAGGTAAGTCAAATATAAACACACCGTTTTGTGATAGTTTCAGGGTTTAGCAAATGGTTTGTGACTGACATTGTCCTTGTGCACGTTCATTGGTAATGGATTATATTAACACATTATCAACTAGAAATAAATACAACCATAATTTGTCAGTTTGAATCATTCATGTTTCCTTGTCATAAAACAATTAATATGTTTGAAGGTTGTTTAAGAATTCAGTCATGTGGTCTGAGCGATAGTGTGGTCATCTGACAAAGGTTGTTTAAGAATTCAGTCATGTGGGCTGAGCGATAGTGTGGTCATTCTTAAAAGAAGGAAGAAACAACAGACAAATAAACAGAAGAGTCGGACAAAGCATGATTTTTTTTTTTTGCTTTATTAGGCAGAGTCGGACAAAGCGTGATTTTTTTTGCTTTATTAGAACAAGGTGTAAATTTTAACATCCTCCAGGTTTTTTATTGGCCTTTTTTCCGTGAAACAGCTTTGGTCAAATTTGATTTCTTTTTTGAGCCCTTCGAGGTAATTGAAAGAGCATATTTTAGACATTAAATCATTAAATCATCACCTTTGTGGTTACTAGCCCCTGTGGGCGCCTGTTTTTAAATGACATGGTGACTGATGGTAAAGATCCCCTTGAGAGGACGGGGGTGGGGATGGACAGGGGGCATGAACAGAGAAATTACACGGAGGTCCCTCTCCCACTGATGATGATTTGTAGGAGAGAGCAGCTCTTTTCTGTCAGGGGACCAGTCCTAAATACTGTACAACCACAGAGCTGGATGATGACTCTCCCTTTAATAAGCTTCAAGAGTCAAATTTTATTTATTTATTTTTTATAATTAAATTTCAGTGTGTTTCTGTGAAAAAAAGAGAGGAAAAAACACAGGCTGGCAAAATGATTAAACATTTTAAATGAATTAATCACAGGGTAACTGTGGATTAATCACGAATAATCGTGACTAATTATGATTGATCAAGATAAATCAACATTCCTGAATATGACAACAAATGTGTTGCTGAAACAGAAAGACAAATAACAGCAGGTAGATGAATGTGTTCCCCACCTGTTTTTACCTGGTGGTAAATAAGTTAAAAATAGTTTTTTGTTGCTCAGCCAACAATCAATACTGGTATTGGTTATTTTACCAATATTTGTCCCAGTTTTCCACTCACAATTGTCCACATAATATCCAGTTGGAAAGAAAAATAAGAAAAAAAATATGCAAAACAGCTTTTACTGAGACACTATTGTTAGACCTGTGTGGTCGACATTTCAATTCACGCTCAGTGACACGGAGCAGAAAAGAAAGCAAATCACAGGAGATAAATCACCGACAAAGGGAATGGCAGTAATCACCCATTTCTAGCTGCAGAATAATCCCAGGTTTTACTTCAGATTCCAGTAGGGAAGACATATTATTTGTACTCGTTTTCTAATTGATTTTTGTTTTATCTGGGTATTTTTTGTTTTGTTTTGCACCTTTGTACTGTACCTCCAGTTTCTCCTAGTTCAGTATACAAACAGTACAGTATATATAGATATCACTGTGTCCTTTCGTCTGCAGCTGCAGGAGCGCCTGTCCTTCCTCTTTATTTTAGCTAATGGCATTAAAACCCACTACAAAGGGGACAAAACACACATGGCCAGACGTGTGTTGCGTCCCTCATTATCCCGGGGGTGTGTGTTGATCAAAGACACACTCCTGTCTCCCTTTGACCCTGCGTCATGCTCTGCAGAAGTGCTCAAAAGCCCGCTGACTCACTCATGAGACGGATGGGCCACTTGTAGAGAATTGGATTTGATGTAAATGTGCATCATCCAGTCAATGTCACCCCGGCTGAATGCTCTTCTGTGCACAGATACAAAAGCACATGGGTCGCTGATAACCGGGGCAGTTCTGTCTGTGGAAAAGCCGAGACTGGGGGCGGCTGATAGTGATAAGGTTTATTTGTTGTAAAACAGTTGGCAGGTAAAAAACCAAAGTCCGGAGCTGTGAGTCGCTCAGGCTGTGAGTGTATTGACATCACCATCAGTGATTAAACTTTGGCATTATTTTCCATCAGCTTTATGGGGTTTAATTCACTGATGTAAAAGTTGCTGTACAGATATAACAGGATCAACTGATTTTTAAAAACCCAAGAATTCTTTCTTTTAAAGTGTTAAAAATCCAGTTGTTTGTCTGGGGGGTTCCCAAACTGGGGGTGGTTCCTGCTATTGGGGCATGGAGCTATTTCATCTGCAGTCAATTCAATTCAGTTTTTATGTCACATCTGTGTCTCCGTCTCCGTCCTGCCTGCATCCAGCTGTGTCATCTGTGTGCTGTAGGATGGGGCTAAAGCAGGTTAAAAATGGGTCAAAATATTAATCACCGCTGCTGACTGTAATTTAACTGGGCCAAGCGGCTATAAAACTTAACGAGGGTCCGTCACGTAGGCACGGTGTGTTTGCTTTGCATAAAGAATCCATTGTGTTCAGAGGGTGACGTGCTGGCTGAGCACTAATAGCAGACTCCGTGTGGCCCGTGACATTTGTCAAACAGTCAGATTTGATGCGCTGCTTTATTTCAGCCTGTCCCAGATTCGTCACCACTGGTGGAGGCGGCTCATTTTCTCCTTTATTCTTCACAGTATTGACTTCTAAGAAATGTTCTTTGATGGATTTGTTTAAAGTAAATGAAAAATCCAAATACAGAAATCTTCTAAGAACTGATTTGCCAGCCTGGATTACATAAAAATGGAATAGCAATTTTTTAAAGGCAATTTTAATTATTTCAGCCAATCTGAAAGATTTGACTTATATTTCCTCAACTCTATAATAGTCCTTTCTTTAACATAGGTAGAAACAATAGTGACATTTACATGTAGTTCTGCTTCCTGTTTTTGACATTTTCTATTGCTGTCATTGGATCCTGATTTTAGTTTGAGCTGTACATCAATACCAACACACCTTACAACCTGATTTAACTTGATTGCATGTGTAACAATCCATCTGTCGTCCCCTGCCATCCGGCTTAAATAATTCTATCACTTCATCTCTCCTTTCTCTTCACCAAAGATTGTCTTTCAAATATTTAATGGTAAAAATAACAGTTCTTAGATAAAAATATCCATTTTGCAGCAGCTCTAAAATTAAATTCGCAGCCAGATTTTAGTGAGTCGGTTCTTCAGATGGTGTTCCAAGCCAAAACGACTCGTGGCCATGCTTCATTTGGCTGCACTGGTATGGAATCCTCCGGGGACCTGTAGTTGTCACAGACACTTCACTTTACAGGAGAAGAAGTCTGATCAAAGGCATGAGATTTGGACAAATGTTGTTGAATCTGTTCCTGCTGCGTCCTGTTCTTGACTTTTTTGAATAAGAACCAGCAGGAAGTTTGACTCCCTTTTAGCCTCTCACCTCACATATTTGTTTTTTTTTCTCCTCTCTGTGACAGGCAACAAACGAGGAAGCCTGCAGTGGGTTATAGACGTGACCATAGCCTACCCCAAAGCAAAACCAATGGACATCCAGACCTGGATCTTTGGCTACAGACCTCCAACAGTCACACATGTACACTACAGGTAAGAATGTTTGGCCCAACAGAGTGACCTGACAGATTTGTAACGCAGTTACCAGTCACTCATGTCTCTAACTTCGACACCTGTTCATTTGATTCCATTTGAATTTTATTACCGATTTTTATGTCACACCAGTGGCACTGCAAAATCAGTCAAATCTTTAAACACACGTCACAGCTTTCATTTTTATGCCTTGTAAAAGGTTTGGGCAGGAAATACGGCTGTATTGTTACATGTATATGTAATACTTCCCACTGTGTTTTGGGATTATGTTATAGGATTACACATTAGCCTGTAATTATATTGTGGGATATTGTCTATGACCATCGAGCTGTCATTCCCCTGAACAATTGTCTTGGGCTTTAAATCCAAAACGATCCTTTTCTCTCCTTCAGACTGTCACACTAATGCAGTTGATATTAAATTTGATTTAAATGTAGTATTTAAAAGGTTTTTAATTGGATTTGAAGAAAGCAGCCTCTAATCTAATAGATAAACCAAGCTATTCTCTAACATTTGATAAAATTACCCCAGAAACAAAGGTAAAGACCTTTAGACCAAAAGCCACGAAAAAAGCCTCCGTTGAGAAGTTAATTTTCTGCTCTGATGTTTGAGCTCGTACGTGTGTGGTTGGTTAGGACAAGGTAATAGGTGATGGATTAACCCTGGTTCCCCTGCCTCTCGCTGGAGGATTCTTCCCGCTGTCAGAGTAAAGCCGAGGACTCATTAAGTCTGTAATTAGACGAGCAGGGGATGCGCAGGTCCCACCCTGCTCTCTCGGCCGCTCTAATCAGCCATCGACACGATCAGCTTCCCTCGCTCGGTCAGCAGCTCTGAAATTCAGGTGACACTCGGGGGAGGCACCCGACCAAGCTGACGACACAGCTGTTACTGAGAGGAGGGAAGACGGCAGTGATCACAGAGAAGCTAGGGCCGTGCTGATGTAGGTGCACAGTCAACCTGAGGATTATCCTGCCTGCTCATTAAGGGAGCACTGTGGGGGAGTGAGCAATAAGATGGAGACAGGAGATAGGATGGGTTTTTACCACCACTTAACCCCAGTGTGTCTGCTGCATCACCCTCGGACAATCTCCACACGGTGGACATTTGTCCTTTACCGTTCTTTCCAGGAATAACATATAAAAGGAGCAGACTTCCATCAAATGGGTTTCTGTGTCTGAAGTCAGTAAAGTTCCAATGGTTTACCCAAAACAGTTTTGCAGCTGGAAGAGTGCTTGGCATCGTGGCGTGCAGCAGGAGGGCCTCAGCTTTAAATCCTGCTTCAGACCAATCTTTCTGTTCTCTGTGGTTTTCTCCACCAGTCAGCAGAGAGTGGATGTGAGACTAAACGGTGGCACACGTCAGTCTGTCGGCCCTGGCCCTGCAGTGTCTGCCCCAATTCAGAAGCAGTAATGCAATAATTATTAGTAGCGATGCTGCCGCTAATTAATGTAGCGCAGTGGAAACCCAGGTTTTAAGTCACAGCTCCAGCAGTAGTTGGTGTAGCGTTTGTCACCCACATGAATGCCTCCGACCAGAAGCTAATAATAATAATAATGAATATTTAATAGAAAAATGCACGTCACGTTCATTGTCAATGCAAAACTGAAAGGACAAACTGGTGTCAAAAAGGTGGTTCTTCAAAATGTTTTGACAGCACTAATGAGATCCTCAATAACAGGAACTGTTTCCTTTTCTTTTTTCTTTTTTTTTAATCCTGACGTGACATTGTCAAGGTTGTTCAACAATGACATCAATGGAAACCACAAAAATTCACCTGGTTTTGGAAAAACTAGAACAGTTTTTCAGCCTAACTGTGTGAGCGCTTTGACAACTGGAAGAGTGTCAGCTGTCCACTTGTATCAGTGATTCAGCAGTTTGTATCTGCAGTAATGACTGTTGCTCAGAGAGAGAGAGAAAGAGAGAGAGAGTGTTATCTGACTGTACTCAGCTGAGCAGAATCAGAGGTTTTCACTTTGGTGCCTTCTTGTTTTAGCATTCTTAACACCTTGTCCTACAAGCAGTAAAGCAAAGAGAATTTAACCACAGACTGAGCAGGAACAGATTCATTATAATTGCTGATGCCTTAACTCAGATGCTGGCATTCTGTTCTAATTTTTTTTTTCTTGATTTACAAAATTTTGACCTAGTTATTTCCTTCCTGGCGGGCTCTGAACACAGGTGTCAGCTGCCCGGTCGTGGACCACAGCCTCTGTGGTGTCAATCAACAAATGTACTGTACATCTGACCCACATCCGCGGTCACTGTAGCTGTTTTTGTGCCTGAGGTGAAACTGGCTGTTTCTTAAAAACTGACCTTGATCACAGGACAACATCCTCATTTTGTCCTGGTGTTCGACTGTGGAGCTGATTGTTGTGCCTTGGCTTCACTTTCAAAACAGTGAGCCGAGTATGAAGTAGTTGTATTTCAAATGATTCGCTCTGCTCTTTTTGATAATCCCTCTTTCCTCCCCTTTGTCTGTCCTCTATCCTGGTATCCACCCTCCCTCAGTGTCTCCTGCCTCCTCTCCATATAATCTCAGCATCCCAGGCTGCAGCATCATAAGCTCTTTCCTGAATGGCAGATGGGAGAGCTGGGTGGGTGTACAGAGGTCTAGAGAGGGCGCCGGTGGGTGTTAAATATGTGGAAATCCTTTTTTTTTGTAATGCATATTCACGTCTAAATTTTTTTGCCGCTCTGTGCATTTTAGCTGTTTTGAAAATACTTGATATCTGACGTGATTAATGGGCTCAGAGTCTGCCTGGTCATCACATGCATGCTCACCCACCTGGTCTTCCCTGGGAGACTGCACACACAGCACTTTTGCACAGGTAGACGCACATTGTCTTTTCTGCAGGTATTTAATGCAGTTTAAATTCTTTAAATTTGTAATTATTTGTGAGCCAGATAATACCAGGCCTCAGACTTTTGAGCTAACAGTTAGTGCTGAAGCTGATGTTATAGACCACATTAGCTTCTGTCACACCCGCCTGCTCTGCTCAGTGATGCTTTAAGAGTGCACCCTGCCTGTCAAAGTCATATGATAACTGTGAATATTTCCACCAACCTCAACTATCTTGAATAAAATAATTTCATGTTAGTCACTCTACCTGATTGAAAAGATAAAATTCTACTTCTCTGAACCGGAGTGATTATTATTTGGCTGTGATTTAGTATAAAATCACTTTCCTTCTTAGGTCGCTCTATACTTATTTCCGGTGTTGATGGTCTCACCGGTGTCTCTGAATACGTGTTATAAGCTGAAAGTGAAATGTGTGAAAATGTTGGCACTTGTTTAAAGCAGGTACCAATTCCACTTGGACGTTTATTATCAGAAGATAAATATTAGACCAAGGGTAAGGCCAACCTAACTTATTAACGCTTCCTGTACAAGCATGACCATGTCACTGCTGACCTTTGCACTGATAATTGGTCAATGCTCTCTTGGTCAACTGTTATTAACCACTCAACATGCAGGCCTTTGTCTCAGTGATCAGTTGTCTAACAAAAACAGTCCCGTCGTCAGTGACATCTGGTCACGCTTTACTACTGCCACGTAGTCCTCAAAGCTTTACTGACATTCACGGTTACATTACTGACGATGAGAACTCTAATTGTAAAGTAATGGCAAACTAAGTTCAGTCGGCCTGTCTTTTTGAAATCCAGGAGATTGAACATAATTATTCCCCCGAGATATGTAAAATACAACTATAAAACTGTCACTGAAGTCGTCACTGCCAATGATGTTCCAGTTCATGTTTGCCAACGCAGGTCGGAGCCCCCGCTCGCTCTACCTGCTCATTTCAGTTGGTAAGAGATAAAAGCCTGTGCTAATGATCAGGATTCTCGCTGTTCTCACACCAGGCCATGCAGCTCTTCAACAGTCATTTCTACTTTTAAACAAAGTAAATGCTTTGATCAGCACACCCTCACTGATAATGCTTAGCGATAATCTGACAGCTCATTAAAAAGCAATGTGATAACTAGCCTGGATGTGTTATTCAATACTTGGCAAATCAGAAGTATGTGCAGCTATTTTGGAGCTGCAGTCTCTGATGTAAGAGTTTCCTCGGTTACAGTCAGCGGGCGATCATGTGTGCTGCGATATAAACAGTTACATAAATACATGTATGCATGTGTAAACATACAGATGCATGCCTGGAGTTGTGAGTATTACTTCATTCAGGATTTTGTTCATCTCTCACCTTTGGGCTCTGAGTCATTTCTGATTTGGTTGGTGGAGAATCACATGCATCCATTTCCTGGAACAGAGATGGCCTTGAGTCAGAGTGGACGCAGATTAAAAACTAAATGGAGCAATTACCAAGTGGACTCCCACCGTCTCCATGATTGCAGGAAAGCACTTCTTGACATTTTGCAGTAGAGTAAAAGACCAGTAGAGTTACCCAGACGGGGGCAACTCCGTCATCCATCCAGGTGTCGGTGATTATATATAAAAATTAGTAAAGTATGACAACGGAGTAGTTTGGAGTTTGCACCTTCATCTTAGATACTTTGCATTTTTCTGCCCGAGTGCACAGCCAGGGCAGCTCTTAGTTTCAGCAACAGACGGATGAAGGGCCTCACACACTCCCTCAAACAATGACTGGCTGCCCTCCAAAGAGGTCTGTCGAGTGGACACACTTTTCCAGCTATAGTCCAAATTTAATTGGCCTCTCAGTTTGAAGGAAAAACAATATGTCAAGAATAAGTGCTGCTCAGACAGTAAGTAGCCACTGAATCACTCACACTCTCAGTAATAAGCTCAATTAGTCTTTTCGTTCTAATAAACATGTGGACAGCTTATCTAGCGTGCTTCCTATGTCGCAGGAGTCGCCTCCACACGTGGCTGGTACAGGATGTAGCCCTGGCTGAGGACATGGTAGGAGTCGGATGTTGAAGGGTATTGACAGGAGAAACCGAAGCTCTCTCCCAGCTGTCTGTCTTTGTGCCAGGGTTTCAGGTTAACAAGCAGCTCATTGCCAAGTGGGTTAGGCTGGAAATGAGAGCGCTGCCGTGGCCTCACGCCAACACATCGCCACCAGTTCCTCACCATTGTCTGTGATGCAGCGCTCTTACAATGAACCCATGCTCCGTTGTTACTTTTTCCTCCCAGACGCTTGTAGACCAGTGTTTTCATTTTCCAGAAACTGACAGGAGCCAACGGTGGCCAGTGTTGCATTACATCCCACCCACACGTGGCTGCTCGTTTGACCCAAAGTCACCCAGACCCAATTTTTCTAAAACAAAATGTAACATGATCTGTCTCATGATAAAAACCTCACTTGCTTATGTCATATATATTATTGTTTTTCTGTATATATATATATATACACAGACACAAACATTTTGGAACAGTTTGCTTCTCTTAATTAAAACCCCAAACATTTTAGAACAGTTTGCTTAATTTACATTTACAGAAATTAGAAATTAAGTTTGAACTAACATAGAAGCAGTGAAAGTAAGTACCAACGGATGGATTTCTATATTTACCCATGTTGCCTTGATTACTTTTGATCAGTTTACATGTGACACAGCTAACATTCCTGGCAACGTGAACAGACACCAGAAGATGCCGGCATCTCCATGAATGTTTCAGTACCTTTAAAGCCTCGTTCACGGGTCCTGCTCACCGGGCCACTATAATTGCATAACTTCCGATAAGATACTCGGATACACCACTGTCAGTTACTGTTACCGTATCAGTCACCCAAGACCAGATCGGGTGTGAAACACTCCAGAAGCCTCTTACATTAGATCATTCATCTGTGTGCATGCTGTATATTTAATGACTACAACATTTGACAATGCAACATCAGCGAAGGCAACATCAGCGAGCAGCTGAACGCTTGCTGATGTGATATTTATCTTTCTTTGATTGCTGTGCAGCTATTTCTCTCTCCATTGATTATGACAGCAGTCTCATTAGCAGGGTAAGCTAACTCTTGCTCATCTTATAATTTGACTTATGGGAACCCTCAGCGTCACCGGTGATGGGTTCGTTTGGAAGATCAGTACAACAAACGACACCTGATATTCACAGACGGCGAAGCTTCCATGAAATCGTCCCAGTTTGACCTGTGATCAAGTGGCCACGGTGGCTCGGCTTCGGTGTTTTCTGGGCAACCAGAGCTGCTCTCGTTATCTGTTGGTTTAAAAAGAAAAATCGACTTACCCTCCAGCAGCTTTATTAAAAAAATCTGACAGATTAAAGTGGGAGATGTTTTGGACAGTTTTCACAAATTTAATGAGAGTTTTATTTTGCACAAGGAACCAGAAAGAGCCTCTATGAAAACAAGACCGTGTCCAAACTCTCACCAGACCAGCATTAAAAAGGCTTCATAATGAGGAGAGTCCAAAGATAAAGTGTACGACCTAACAGAAGTCAGTGACATCTAGTTTGTGGACAAGTAAAAATAAGCCTTCCCTGATTGGCTCGTATGGAACGCTCCAGTAGTGCATTTGTTTATTGTGTACTCATGCCCTCTGACTGTACCTGCAGTTTCCACCATAGTGACATCAAAGTATGGGTTCAGAAAAATACAAAGTCTCATGTAAAAGCTCTAAATCAGACCATACAGAATTATACCCAAAGAAACGAGATTATCTTCGGGTCAGACGTGGGGCGATCTGCTCTGCAAGACACACGTTTTGTTATTATGTAGTTTCATTTTATTGATCAATTTAGGTCTGGGATCCGGTGGCTGCGTTTGTAGAAATTAGGTTTGCAGATGACAGTCTTTGTAAAATGGTCCATTACATTCTGCGATCAGTTGAAAAGCATGCATCAGTTTTTCCTGTTTTATCTGATTTAAGAACTCCTTGTGAGGCAGGCAACCTCTCCCAGGGATAAAGCTAAAAAGCACATCTGAATATATTCTCTTAGAGAGTCCAAAAAAAGTCCAGAATGGTAAAATAATATTTTTGATAGAGAGGGAGTTCTCCATATGTGCTTTAAATAATCAGAAAAACTTCCCTAAACAAGGGGAAGTTGTACTGAATATACGCACTCACTTTAAATGTTTCATTCTGTGTATAAATATGTAGAGGATTCGTCAGGACGGTGCACAGAGTCACAAAGAAGAAAAGGAAGAATAATGTCACTTATCATATCTAAACTATTCTAATATATACCTTGATCTTCCTGCTGGGTTTATGCCGTTTTCCACTGAAGTACTAGTTCATTTTTGAAGCGTAGTGTTACTTTGGTGACACTGTGAGAACTTTCCCATCATGCTGCTGCTACAGCCACAGCCACAAACACCTTCCTGTCACCAACCGTCCACCGGTGCCTGCAGCATCGTAGGAGAACTGTTGCCTCCTCCTAGATTGCTTTTTAAAAACATGTCCAACACCAATCAATACTGTATCACGTATTACTGCCCTCTTACTGAAGCTCCACATGTACTTTCACTGTGGATCTTATCCGGTGGGGAATATTGACAACCCATGTTGAGTGCAGAGGAAACGCTCGTCTGAGGGAGGAGACTCTAACCTCTATTTGAAGGTGACCAGGAGCTGCCGCCCTGCGAGCACAGCTCACAAGAGACACCTACTGGCTGGAAATAGTTTTTTCAAAACGCTCTCTTTTGTGAAGGCATATCACCGTAACCGTGAGTTCTCATTAAGGTCCTGACAGTTTGAACTAATCGATTCAGTTTTACACTGGAGTTTCATCCTGAGGCCGAGGTTCATCCAAAACCTGATAACTGAAGCCTCATCAGAGATTGAACATGAAAAATACACATCCATCTAACAGAGTGACATGTCCATGTTTGACATTCGGCTAAGAAATAGTTCAAGGTTTGCCAAGATGGATGCTGGTCAGTTCACAGAATGCTGAGGTTGTGCCTAATGTAGGTCTTGTCAGGATTTAATTAAATTCCCTCTTCATTGTGTCAGGTCAGTGCTCCTCTGGTGCACCCTCACATTCCTGTCTTGTGATTTTTTATTTATTTATTTATTTATTTGACTCGATTCCAGCCACAGCTGAACCACAAGTCTGAGCTCCACTCAGCACTTCTGTCTCGCTGTGACACTGATGAGTTCGCCAGCTAATGAATCCCCCAAACAGCTGAAGAAGCTGCTGCAAACACACAAGCTAGTGTAATAGACTGCCAGTTTGGAAATAGACTCTCCTGCCCAGGGACCACCGCTGACACACTGGGCTTGATCAATGTTGCTGTTTCTGCTGAGAGAGACATCACACATCTCTTTGGTTTGTGTGTGTGTGAGTCTGTTTCATCTTCTTAGTCTTTTTCTCGCTCTTGTTCTTCAGGATGTACCCGATAAAAGAGGTTCCTGTGGAGGCAGCGGCGCTGACCGACTGGCTCTACCAGAGGTTTGTGGAGAAGGAGGATCTGCTGGCCCACTTCTACGACACAGGTCTGTCTCCGGCTGTCACACTGAATACACTGAGTAATTAACAACTCTTTGGTTATAATAAATCCTAAAATTTACCTAAAATATAAATTATTGTGAGACAAGGAACCTCTCATTCTCATTTTTATCACTGTTTGACTAGAATGATTCCAGTGTCCAAATTCAACAACATGAGAAATACCAGAAATCATTTTAAATACTTAAAAGAGACAGTAGGCTGTCAAGGCTGATTGTCATTCAAAAATATGCTAAAAGTTCAGTTTAAAAGCATTATTTAAATGGCTCATGTTAGCCTTGGTGACTTTAAACTATGTATTTCTCAAATAAAAGCCTAACTGGCAAAAAAAAGGTAACTTAATCATTAGCCTTAATTTAAATTAAAACTAAAAATAAACTGTTGCTTAATTTTTATGAAACTTCCCTGGAAATTTTCAAAAATGTCCGTTGTGACAGTTACTGTTGTGAAAACATCCTGAAACTTCCCTGGAAATTTTCAAAAATGCCCGTTGAACAAATGTGACAGTTACTGTTGTAAAAACATCCACCCACTGTAGAACTACTTCCTCATTTACTTCTTCTTACACTTCCTTCTGTGTATACTGTTACAGTTTCTGTTGAAGCTGTCAACATTTTTCATGTGTTAAGTTCACGGATATGAATTAAAAAAAAAAAAAAACAGGGAAAATACAGTGAAATAAGTGATGATGTCATCGTACACAGCCTTTGTCTGGGCTTCAAGTCTCTGGGCGGCGTTGCCTCCGCTCCTGTTTGAATAACATTAGAGCTGTGCTGTTGCTAAGAGACCTGCTGTCAACTGAGAATATTTTAACCCTGGTTGCTGTACAAACAGTGATACAGAAGTGGTTACATGTTTGTCGTGTCTTAATGCACATGTTTCCAGAATGTCCCAGTCAATTTGACAAATCAGTCGCTAACACGCAGAGATAATTAATTTCTACTCAGATGTAGCGTCACAGTGACCAAAACAGGGTTTTTTTTTACCCTGAACACAACATTCAGGGTAGACAGATTTTGCAGCGATGTTAACTTGGCTTTAAGAATCATGAAATCATGAAAGGTCAAATATCAAGGTCACTACACTCACTAAATGGTGTCGCTGGCAGCTGGGAACATTTCCAGACAGTTTTATTGAATTTTGCAACTGTCGTTGGCTAACTATTAGCATCGTTGGGGATTGTGTCTTAGTCGTAGATTAATAAGTTTGAATATTCTCAAGACTTATTGAATTTTGCAACTGTCGTTGGCTTTGAATATTTTCAAGATAATTTCTGACATGCAAGAAAGCTAGTAAAGTTTGCTATAGTACTAGTGTTGTGCTAACACATTTTCTTATATAGTTCTGTAGCATCTGTTAGCTGTTCTCGTGTATGTGGGCTACTCTCTGCAGGCCGACTTTGATTAGACTTTCAATTTTACCGTATCCTAACAGTTTCAGATGACATTTTAGATTTGTTTTTTGGAAAAAGAAGAAGAGCATTGTTAATTTGTTTTATTTAATTTTTTTTTTAGCCTTTGGTTGCACAGATTTGTGAGCTAACCTTTAGCTGTTATGATTTCATCTCTCCGACAGGAGCCTTCCCTCCCACAGATGGACAGAAGGGGGCAGTTTCCCGACAGATGACCCTGGATCCAGTGAAGCTCGTCTTCATCCAGTCCTTTGCGTTCGTCTCTGGCTACATCTGGTTCAGGGTCTTCCAGTTTCTCTACTGCTGTTTATTTTGAGCGTGATGATTTGGTGAGAGTCTGGATTGGACCACTGCGAAAGAAACTTAAGGATCGCTGACGTGTGGCGCGTTGTCACACTCTCTCACACACACACACACAAACACACCAGTCCTCTCCATGATGGATGGATGGATTTACATTTCTACCCATGGAGGAACTTTGCAAGGAAACAAAAGACATTTCACGACAAAATGTGTGCAGATTTCACCGTCCCTCACAGTAAACAACTGCTCACAGTGTCCACCGGTTACGTTCACACCACCCTAACGTGACACGCCCACACCTGCGGTTTAGAGGGATAACGTCTCACATTTGTCAGGTCTGATATTTCCACATGTTTTTACATCCTCATACATTTAAACACAGGCACCTAGTGACCACTTTTTAGTTCAAAGTTATTGGAAAATGCGGCTCAGGACCTTCTCCAGAAGACCATCTGGACCAGACTCCGTCTGTCACACCATGGTTTTTGAGTTAACAGAACACATGGATACACCTGAGTGTACGCTTGTGACAAGGAGCTGAAGTCTACAAATCCTGCCTGGATTTTAACCTCCTCAGTGAAAGTCCACAGAACCTCCTGTGTTCAGCTCGCCGTCCAGTAGCTAGACCACACCTTGCACAGCGAGTGACCATAAGAACGCTCCGGCTGCCCAGCCGTGGCCGCTCTTCTGGCCTGCATTGCACTAAGGATCCGTAACTGCCGTGACTGAATAGTAGCTGCTGGTGTTTTAATTTGACTTCATTTTATTTTAATCCCTCAAACATGCATATCACCATGACTACAGCCACGATTCGTTTTTTTTTTTTTTTTTTTTTTTTCTTTGTTTCCTTTTCCTCCCGTGTCTTTCTGTCCAGGCAGTATTCAGATCAGACTGGAAAAAGAAGCATAGGATCATGTTTACACTGGCAGCCCTGCTGAAGAACTTAAAGGAGGCAGAGGCTGTGAGGGCGGGGCTTTTTTTTCCAGAGAAAAGGGAAAAAAAAGGTGATGTTATTCCAGCTGTCATAAAAGAAGACAAAGGAGAAACTCTTGAGACACGCCAGGCAGGAAACGCGGTCCAATCACCTAGAATCTGACTGTGTGTGAGGTGGTTCTCACCCTCTGCTCTGTGCACACACACACACACTCACACGAGCACATACGCGACTATGTGCAGACACTGCGGAGAAGACGTTGGTCTCGAGGATCACCTCCGTGAGAAGGATGGAGAAGACTCTCGTTCCCCATTGGACTCTGTAGTTTTACAAATATTTAAGCCATACGCTTAGTGTTTTTTGGGGGTTGGGTGAATAAAAAGACGTGGGGCGGGGACTCAGAATTTTTTTTTTTTTTTATAGAAAGCTACCCAAGTGTTCAGCATTCAAATCTATAGAGATTTTGGCTTACAGAAGTATAGGTGTCATTACTGTAAATTTACAGCATAACCTGCCTAACTTGAGTGTCTGTATGTGTGTTTTTGTGTGCGGGTATGTGTGTGTGAGTGTGCGTGGTCGTCGTTCTCCCTGCAGTTTTGATAAATATGACTCGTGTCGTGTTGCTCCGCGACGTCAGAGTGTGGCAGCGATTTTTTGTTTCACCACAAGTGGTCGAATTTTATTTCATTTTTAATGAAATCACAAAACCGTCGTCCGCATTTCATCGTATGTTTGAACCTTGTAGAAACAAAGCTGAGGAAGAGTTTTCATGGTGGGATGGACAATATTTCTTAATTTATTTTTTTTCCTTCTGGTCTATTTCAAGTAATTTTTCTTTTCTTTTTTTAAATATCTGAATGATTTATGAATGTTAGAAAAAAAAAGAAAGTTAACATGTGTACTACACTCTTCATTCATTTTTGTTTTTTAAATTTCAGAACAGGAAGTTGTTGTCTGGTTCAAGAGGCCAAGATATTAGAGTTATTGTTTGTCCAACTTATGGCGTGTGGTGTTTTCTTATTGACCCATGGGCCAATTCTCAAACCATAGACCGTATATAAGAAATGAAGGCTGCTTACTGGATGGAAACTGTTGGAGTAAAAGTGAAGCCCCAGGAAGAAGATTGGGAGTAGCTGGACATCTGTTAAAAAAAATCGTTTAGAAAGTGAAGTGGGAGATCAGGCTGGGATTGACAGTTTGACATTGTCCTAGAGTTAGGGTTAACCTAACCCAGTGGTTCCCAAATTTCTTCTGAAACGCCCCCCTTTTCTTGGAGCCCTAACCCACAGGAGGCTAAATTCAGGTTATAATATTAAAAGTTTCCTCTGTAGATCCCCCAAAAAACACAAAATGTATATCCACTAGCTTATTTAAGATTTTTGTTAAAGGTTTTCCATTGGACAGTTATGTCACATGCTCTCCCGTTGTGTCCTAGTCGTCCATAAACCAAAACTTCAGTTCCTGAGGAGTTATAATATTAAAGAAAATTCACTTCAGTCCTCCTCGCCTCGGCTTCACTTTTGTAAACCTATGCAGTTGGTTGGTTGGTTTCTTACACACGGTCTGTATTTTAAAGTGATAAAGTCAGTCACTAACCTTATGTCTCGTCACCCACGGTGGAAACTGGCAGGGCCCTGGGCCAATGCAGCTGTCGTCTGTCGAACGTTCTCGTGTCATGCTTTTTGAGGTCAATTACGTGTAAATTGCTTAGCCTGCTTTAATTAGAGGAAATTATACAGGTGCAGCATTAAGTGTCGTTATGAAACAAAGCATCAGAGTTGCAGTTGAGTAGTTTTTGTCCTCTCTCCGTGCACCGACGTTGGTAGAAACTGTGTGAAATTCAAAAACAAGGGCTACCTGACCTGGTAGGTGAAAACATTTTAAACTAGAGTGTAACTGTGCTCCATCTTGTGGCTCTTTCAGATTCCCCTCCATCGTGAGAGTGACTTTCAATGAAGCTTTTTTTTTGTTTCCGTCTTTTAACATTTTTATTGGTATAATTTTCTGACCATGTTTCCAAAGAAAGTGGGGAAAATTCGAGTTTCCTGGATGTGGTTTTAGGAAATAAACACAATAGGAATTAAAACAGATTATACTAGAAACTGTCTGTAATTTTCCATTTTGTACTCCTTTAATTCCTAGCTACACAGCCATTTTACAACACAGAAAAACTTGTGCTGGAATAAAACATCATAAAGATCCAAAGATGAGTATGGATTATTTGGTCTGTATGGTCCACGACATGAATCACATGCTTTGTTTTCATATTTAACCCTTTATTGCAGAAGTCCCTAACAACACGCCAACCTTAAATTTGACATGAGAATCGCCTGTTTGAGAAACCTGACCTTCAGGGTGGACTGTGAATACAATCTTTTAAAGCAAATAATTTCATTTGTCTCTTTGTTCTTGTACCAAATGAGTCTCAGCCCAGTACTGGTCCATGGCCCAGAGGTTGGGGACCTCTAGCACGGTTAATGTCACTGCACATTAACGATTGCATTTTTCCCTCATTTTCTTTGATTCCTTTGTAAGGTCTCCCCTGTAAAGATTTAAATCCGTGGAGACATTGTGGTTAAATAAAGGTTGAATTAATAAAATGAAGCATAAAAAATGCCATATAAATTACACAGGCGATTAGGTCTCTGGAGGAAGCTCTGCAGTGAAGGTGTCCGTGTTCCTCCTTCAGACACTGCCTTCTCAAGGTCTTTCGTGTCAAACTCTGATGTGTGTTCTCCAGTGACTGCCTCTGGTGCCCGTGGCGTCCCCTCTGCGTCAGCACACATCCAGTGGTGCAGAAGCTGTTTGTGGATGTCACTGCAGCAGCTGATCCAGAGTCTGTTCTCCCAGGAGAAACTCGGCAGCTGTGACATTTGGCCCCGACCCTGGTCAGCGTGAGGAATACGACAACAGTGTCGACATCAAAAGGTTGATTTTGGATGCCTCCATCTACAGCCCCTTCCTAAATTCCCTGTCACCTTCTGGCCCCCACCAGGTGTAATCTGACGTCACAGCTGCCCTCAGGCACCTAAAGGTTTCTGTGGTTTTCCCCTTCTCTGTTTTTTTTTTTTTTTGCACAAATCCCCAACTTTTTCTGACTAAAGTCCAAACTCCTCCAGCTCTTTGTAGGATTGACCTTTTCGGTGGCAGACTGACAGGCCGGCTCACGCTCTTGTTGGTGTGTGTTGTCGGCGTGTGTGTTTTACTGGCAGCTGAGAGCTAAGATGGCTGAGAGGCTAATTTGAACACAACTGTAGCTGCAGCAGTCCAGCTGCTGGTGGGACTCTGTGATCCCAGAGGCGTCAGGCAGGAATCTCACTTCCCAATTTATCTTATTTTCATGTCAAATGCAGACAGTCAGAGTTGTTGTCAAGACAGAACGTCATGTGACTTCTAACACGGCACACAGTAAACAATCCGTTAATGTGATGGCTGAGGGTGTTCCCCTCACAAGGATGAACAGTTTGTTCCTGTAACAAAAATGTTCTTAACTATCCAATAGGACTAACTCAGTTTACTGTTCTATCTCTACACTACTACATGGTCTGGTACCTAGAAATAATTGTGAAATGAGGGGTCTCTGCATGTTTCGGCCAGATGGCGATCCTTCAGGAGGCCTTTCTGGTCAAATCAAATGACCAGTGACCAGTGAGATGACAGTCAGACTGTACAGCCACTGAGACTGATCTGATGACCTTTTGGCATTTTCAGGAGTGTGTTTGCCTTTGTCAAGTCCCTCAACTTCACAAGCAGGTAGTATAAAAGAACCGCTGCAGCGTTGTCAGATGTATGAGATTTTACATTTTCACCTCTGTTCTTTTGAAGACACTGTTGCTTTAAAAAGAACTGAGATATCGACTGGTTTTCATCTGAATCTCTGTCGGAGCTACTTTTATATTCTCAGTGTGTCTAAAAAAAGGTACGTTTATTCTCACCTTCACTCCCTGAGTGTGTGATTTCATCTCTAACAGCTTACTTCCAACAGTATTGAACAAGTATTTTGAAAAATATTCAGTTGCTAATTAAAGATTTGTACAACTGCAGATTAAATGACAAAAAATAAATAAACACTGTAAATGTAATGCTAAAAGTTTTTATTTTCAATTATTTTGATATGTTGATGCATCATGATGGCTATAAATGAGAATATTTTTATACTGTCAACTTATTCTGTTAATAATAATCATAGATATTAGTAACAAAAAAACACATGTTGACTATTGGTATAAATTGTTTTTGTTTAATAGAAACCAACAGATGTTTTCCTCAGAAAAGATGTTTTAATGCCATCTTGTGGCCAACTAAGCACATTGTATTCATTTACCCGCTCCCATCTCGCGATATTAGACGTAGTTTGTTTTATTGGCCCTGGCCAATCAGCACCCAGCCTTGTGCGAAGTTTTGACCAATCGGCCGTGCGACTCCTTGCACAAATTTTAACCGACAGGAACCGTTTGTTGTTATGTTGATGATTCAGAGGGAAACCAAATCAAATATTTTGTCTTTTATTAAGATCGTATTTTGGATTTCTGTCTCAGAAAACTTACAACTAAACTTCCCAAGGTTATACAATCATTTACGTTGTCTGTTTTCACGTTAATCGGTTAAAAAGCTGGTTTAACGGAAACGAACAGGTGTTTCCACTTTTGGGTCAGTTTAAACGGCCAGCATGCCGTCCCGAGTAGAGGACTACGACGTGTTGTACACGATAGGCTCGGGTTCTTATGGAAAATGTCAGAAAATAAAGCGGAAGTCTGACGGAAAAGTGAGTAAAAGACAACATTTTAGACATTAAAACGGTCGGCAACACGTAGTTCTTTTTACTGACAGTAGTTTTCCTCAGCGGTTTGTGCTCTAGAAATACACGAAGTAGCAGTTAGCTATTTGCTAGTAGCCATTGGGAAGTATTATTGTGGGAAATGTTCGATAAGTTAGAGAAACATGAAATTCTCAGAATAATTGTTTGTTGGGGTGCATATTATGTAAACACCAGCGTGAACACGCCCCCCACTGGCACTATTTTGACTCGTTTAATATCAAGCAGGGGTCCGACAATTTGGATCTTTATCATTTAACATTTTCAACACACTGTCACTTTGTTTGAAAACAAGTCTGATTTTTAAATAAGGCCCCCAGTCTAAGTAGGCATCATATAGTGCTTATTTACAGTCGGTTTGTCCTTGCCCGAAAATGTCTCCAACGTCCATGAGTGTGGTCAGGTTGTGCTGTGTAAACAAAACAATTGTAAAAAAAAAAAAAAAAAAACGTAATTGCAACTTGTTTTTTTTATGCGTATTTGATACAATTTGAGGTCAACTTCCAACACTGACAAAACTGACCTAAAATTATTCAAAAAGTTTTATGTAGATGCAAAATTAATCACAGTTACTCCTGTGTGTGATAGAAATCCCTCTTGTTTTTTCAATTATTTTTTTTACCTGTTCTCGTTTGATGCCTGTTTCCTCTGTAGGTTCTGGTGTGGAAGGAACTGGACTATGGCACCATGGAGGAGAGCGAGAAGCAGATGCTGGTGTCGGAGGTGAACCTCCTGCGAGAGCTCAAGCACCCAAACATAGTCAGATATTATGACCGCATAATCGATCGCACAAACACCAGGCTGTACATAGTCATGGAGTACTGCGAGGGTGGAGATCTGTCCAGCCTCATCAACCGCTGTATCAAAGAGAGGTGACCTTAATCTTGTGAAAAAGATACAAAAAGGGTGTTTTTTACCTCACCTAACTCTGTCTGTCCTTCCTTTTCTTCCTCCGTAGGCGTTACCTGGAGGAGACGTTCATCCTGCGTGTCATGACCCAGCTCACGTTTGCCTTGAAAGAATGTCACAGACGCAGCGACGGCCGGGCCACGGTTCTCCACCGAGACCTGAAGCCGGCCAACATATTCCTGGATGGCAAACAAAACATAAAGCTTGGTGACTTTGGCCTGGCCAGGATCCTGAATCACGACACTAGTTTTGCTAAGACGTTTGTTGGGACTCCTTACTACATGTCTCCTGTGAGCTGCTGATTTGTATTTCTTGTACTTTTTGTGACGTAGTCAAGTGGAAACTCCACCTTCTTAAACCTAATGATTCACTCTGTCTCCTGCAGGAGCAAATGAACCAGTTATCATACAATGAGAAGTCGGACATATGGTCACTGGGATGTTTGCTGTATGAACTGTGTGCATTAACGTAAGTTCATGAGATTCTCTGCTGGTCCAAGACTAAGTTTGTCGCCTGATAATGTGAAATAATGTTTTCCTGCTCCTCTCCGCCCCTCTCCAGTCCTCCCTTCACTGCCTACAACCAGAAGGATCTGGCTGAGAGGATCAGACAAGGAAAGTTCCGGAGAATCCCCTACAGATACTCTGAGAAACTCAGCAGCTTGATAAGCAAAATGCTCAACCTAAAGGTTGGAAGGGCGGTGGGGAGGTTATGGGCGTAATAATACATTTTATTAAAAGTACTTGCACCCCCTGATGTGAAGGTTGGCTGATGGAACTTCTCTCTGACCAGGACTATCTGAGGCCCTCTGTGGAGTCCATCCTCCAGAGCAGCCTGTTGGCCAGCGCCGTGGCCGAGGAGCAGAGCAGAACAGAAGTGCGGCTCCGGAAGAGATCAGTGGACTCGGACTGCCCGCTTCAGAAGCCGGCTGAACCGGCTCAGGCACCGACCTCCGCCGCTGAGCTCAAGATGAAGGAGCAGGCGCTGAGGGATAGAGAGAAGTCTCTGAAAGAGCGGGAGGAGAGGCTGGAGCGTAAGACGTTTGTTGTTACCTCTGTGATGTGACAGTCATCCTTCCACTGATGCTGTCTTTGTTTCGTTATGTACTTTTTCACAATAGATCTGGCAAATCTCATGTTTTACTTCCCTCCTCTCCGACAGAGAGAGAACAGGAGCTGTGTGCTCGTGAACGACTGTCCCACGAGAGGCTCGCACGGTAAATGTTTTAGAGATAACCTCATTATAGAAGTTATTACTCGTATATTATGTTTTTACAAATGTCTTTAATTCACTTTCACTGTTTCAGGGCTGAGACTTTGCTGAAGAATATAAACCGTCTACAGAGAGAGCAGGCACCACTGTTTGGCAAAGACATAGGTATGGGAATCAAAAGAAGACCGCTGGACTTACTGAACACAGACAAGAACTGAGCAGTCTTTGTCTTTTTTAAACATCAAATATATTTATTTATTTTTAATTTATTATAATAAAGATTTTATACACCAATACATTCCTAATTTATTCAATCCTGTATTTTATGTTGAATCTTATGTTTCCTTTGTTATCCAGCTTGTTTAATTATAAAAGGTTAGTTTATTTAAAAACAAATTTATGGTTAACTAATCAGTCACTCCTTGGTGTTTGGTCCCAGACGTTGACAACCTCTCTCCTGGCAAGAAGAAGGTCCACTTTGCAGGCGACAGCAAGGAGAACCAGAGGTTCGACAGGTCCAAAGAGCTGATCCTCAGGAGGCTGCAGGCGGCCAACCTTCGTGCTCAGACGCTGAGTGAAGTGGAGGCAGCCTGTCAGATGAAGAGCAGACAGATCCTGGGCATCCGCTGACCTCATGAAGGTCACTGCCTATGGTGTGGATGTCAATAAAATGAATGTATGTGAGAATAGGTGTGTTTTGTTTCTAGAGGCAGCTATTGAGATTGTTTGGTTTTTGTGAGTCTATATATAATATATAATAATATATATATGGTTGGACTTAAATAAAATAAAAAACAACCTTTAGGAAAAACATTGAAGTGCTACATAATGACAGAATGTGAATTAGATTTTCTAGAGCTGTACATTTCACCAGGGTTAAATTGTTTTTAATGTCACTGGATAATGTATCATTTAAATGTCATGTACCAGCAAGATAGCTTTAGTTATTTCTGTCCTATGTGAACATTTTTCAAAACCTGCAGATTAAGGATCTAATCCAATAAAGGCAGACATCTTAAAAAAAAGCCCTGGTGATGCCACGGTCTGGGTTTCCTCCACACACTGTCTCTCTTTTATTGTGTCCAGTTCACTTGTAACAAAACTCTCCACAACATTAGCTCTGTGTTCTCGCCTTAAGACCCATCTCCTGGTCACACATCAAAGCAGGTTCGCAAATGTTTTTCTTTTACATTTACCCTTTTGTCACTCTGACCCTTATCTCTGCCCTCTTCTCCTGTCTTATCACCCTGCAGCAAGCACTTTCCAAGCCAAGTCCAATTAGGTGAGTTTCCATGAGTTCATGAACTTTGACTCATCTTTGCAGTTTTGTATTATTTCTGATCTACCCTTTAGTCGTCATGTATAATGAATAATGAACACTGGGTTTTGGTTAACAAAGCTATTTGGATTGGATTGAACTGTTTTGGACTAAAACGTTAAACTAAAAAATCCTAAAACACTGACCGTTTACCAATGCTGATTGTTCCCGCAAGGGGGCATCAGTTTTCCAGTCGTTCACTGCATTGAGTGATTTTTCTGCTTCGCCTGTTATCAGATTGACAGGATTACAGCAAACACAATAGCAGGTCTTCGCTACTGAGACCCATTTGTTCATGATTAAAGCTACATAGAAAGAGATATTAAGTGGAATTATTAGGAATGATTAGGAGGATTGTTCCGTTACGTAGAGATTGTGCGGAACAATGGTTGTAAAAGGTGATTAAATAATATAAAACAGGGCCTTAAAATCGACTGACTCTTATAGAGGGGCCCTTTTCCTTGTTTAATCAGAAACTTGTTTTATTAACCTCTGAACAGATAAGAGTGTAATGGATGGCGTGCTAGTCTATTCCAGTTAGGTGTTTTATATTTTAATTAATTATGCAGAAATTAGATACAATTGTACTGATGGCTTTTAAAGAATGGAGGCTACTCTTACGTGATATTTTTGTTATCACATGCCCTGTACAACTCACTCTTTTCTTCAAGTTTTGATCTCTTACATACTTTTTATTGTCTTTATTTTCAAGACAATTTATATGCATTATCTTTATGTTAAAACGGTGTGAATGAAGTGTGGGGCTAAACAGGTCCCTTGGAGCACAACTTGGTTCAATTTATATTTGTCCTTAATTTTCTAGGTAGTTACCAGGCAAAATAACATGATAATAAAAAAAGAAAGAAGAAAAAACACGGATGGAATGGATTAAAAAGATTTTAATAAATAATTTATCAATTAATACTGAAAGGCATATACATTTGTATGCTTTAATATGTTGCGTTTTGTGTTTTTTTAAATTTTATTTATTATACTGAACGTGATTGGTTTAATACATGCATTACGGTATTCAGAGGAGCGTGCGTAGCAACCGCTGTTGTCTTTTCCGTTTGCTCCGCCGACTGACGAGAGTTGCAACATAGGACCAATCAGAGGGGACGTCATGACAGCTCCGCCAATAGCATGAACTCGGAGGTGTATCTACACGCGCGGTGTTCCGTGTGGAAAGTTTGCCGGCTCGGGTGCAAAGTTTCAGCCGTCTGCAAACCTACAGCTCGTCGACAAATGTTTCTGGAACATACTCTCTGCGTTCGTGGTGACTTCACACTGAACCTGCCTTTGTTCAACGGACTAATTCCGCCCGCTAGTACTGTCACATCAGGATAAGTTATGGTGCCGTTGCTGAATTACGACGCTGTTTACACCGATTATATTGTCTCCGGGAGCTGTTAGCCTTACCCCAGCCGTAAGCTAGGAGCCAAAGCAAGGAGCTAGCTAAGCTGATGACCGGCTGATCTATTCAGAGGAAAAGAAGGTGAAACATAATTAGTTTTAACTGAAAGCCGTTCAGAAGAAGAGAAATATGGCTTGTGGGCCTAACCGAGTCCGGCTGCTCTGCATGCTCTCTCTGACTTTTGGTTATTTCATCGTGGAGGTTGTGGTCAGCCGGATCACCTCATCTTTGTCCATGCTGTCGGACTCCTTCCATATGCTGTCGGATGTTATTGCCCTGGTCGTGGCTCTGGTCGCGGTTCGTTTCGCCGAGAAAACCCGGGCGACCAACAAAAATACATTCGGCTGGATACGGGCGGAAGTGATGGGGGCTCTGGTGAACGCTGTCTTCCTCACCGCGCTCTGCTTCACCATCGTTCTGGAGGCGATCGAGCGCTTCACCGAACCCCGGGAGATCGATTCTCCAGTGTTGGTGGCCACGGTCGGAGCCGTGGGGCTTCTGGTGAACCTGCTCGGCCTCTGCATGTTCCACGGTCACGCCGGCGGCGGCCACGGACATTCTCATGGTGGGCACAGTCACGGGAGTAAGAACAAGAAAGCAAAAACGAGCCAAAATGCAGGGAACGGATCTACAGTAGATGAAACCAACAACCTGGTGGGGAACCACAACAGTCCAGGAGAGGGGAGGCCAACCAATGGTGAGAAGAAAACACCGTCTTTGTCTGTTTGTCTCATTAAAAATGTAGTACTTTATTGGCTAACTTCCTCAATAGCACAACATCTTGTTAAAGGTTAAATGTGATTGTTAAATAATCGCTGACTTGACCAAGTTAAACAGCAACATTTTGCTTTATTTTTCGACTATTCGTTTTTGAAAAGCTTTAATGACATAGAAAATGTTCGTTTGTCTTTACTTCACTGTGACACTAACTGCAAACTGACTCCAGGCTCAGCATCGTATTAGACTTGTGTAGACTAGGCATGTCATTACTTTGTAAGTGGTTTGATTAATCTACTATAACTGTTGTTTGGTGCTGATCTAATTATGTCCTTAATTGATTGACAGATTGTCCTTTGTGTGAGTATTAAAATATTATGTGATAATTGCTATTGATAAAACGAGAATGCTGTAGAAGAGAGTGATGTTTACAAATCACATGACTAAAGCGTCTAGAAGTGTCTTCTAGTTACCATCCTGTGATAGTGATGTGATACCAGGGCACTATTCTGGTCTGTGAACCTTTGCTTTTAAATTGGTTGTTGAGCACATTATGAGGAAAAAATGCTTTAAAAACACATAAAATATGGTTCTTTTTTTAAAACTAGAAAGCACTCATGAAGCTCATTTTTAGTCCACAACTGAACTACAGAATGTGAAATATATGAAATATTAAAAGATGAATTTCCAGCATGTTGGGCAAATGTTGAAGGGAGAAAATAATTGTATCATTAACTTTTTTTTTATCTAAAAGATGTAAAGAAACCAATAAGACTAATGTGTATTTTCCTCATCATTGCGTATCCTGTGTGTAATTTTATCATCTACTTTACAATTGTGAGATTAAGATTTTTTTTATTCTTTTGTTTCCTACTATTCGATGAAACATGACCTTATTCAGGTGTCACACGGTGAAGGCTGACCACCGTCAGCTGTCTGGGTGCAGATCAGTGTAGAGTTGGAGTTTTCCAGACTCCACTTACAAACACGTTGCAGCTTGTCAGTTTGAAATTGCATTGTTCTCCCGAAGCCATTGTGTGCTACCAAACAGGAGCGTATAGAAATGTTGGTCATTGTGTTGTGGCTCTGTTGTGGCATTTGGTTGCCGTGGTGGTGCACACAAACGGCCTCCGATTGTTCGGATTGAAAATCGGATGTTTGACGTTTAATCTTCGACAGACGACCTGTGTGTTGAAGAATCCCAGTCGTTTCACTGATCTCGTCAGGTCGCTCTGTGGGGAGTCAAACCCAGTTCTGTCCCACACTGTTAGTCCTTGCTATCTTTAATAAATGGAAGCTGTAAACCCCCCCAACACCCCTTTCCCCAGCGCCCACGCCTGAGCACAGACTCTGGGTCATACATCAGTGTAACAGTGAGGGCGACGGCCACAGCCGCACCATTAGCAGCTGATAAATGACCTGCAGTGTCTGGGATGGAGGAGAGCAGCCAGTACACTCATGTTCCCCCACCATCAGTGTGTGTGTTATCTGACGGCCCAGAGCTGCTTAATGAATTTTGCAGGGTGGGGAATTATTCTGAAGTGGTTTTTAACAACATGGGGGGGGGGGGGGGGGTCTCATGTTTGACCTCCTGTCATGTGGGAGACGAGATAGTTAGGGGATCGGTCAAGGACAGGGTTAAGTCTTGCAGATACGTTAGCGACAACCCTGTCAATATATTCACACTAAGGCCTGGTTATATATTGAGTTTTTTAAAAACATCAATATTACATATGCAATATTGATATGAGACTGGTGTTTTGTGGTGATATACTCTTCTTCTCTGGAATGATGCAATGGTACTATTGGTGTGTTTCGTGAGCAGCCATAAAACTCGACCAAATATGAAACTATACTTAATATTATACATTTGCATGGTTTTCCAAATGGTTTTTATATTAATTAATTTAGAAAATATGTTTGAAACAGATTTATCAACTGTTGCTCCACAGCCCATATATTTATTTATCATAAAATAATTTAATCCAGACTTCACTTTTAATTGTTCAATTGCGTGCTTCAGTTTAAACCCATTAGTTCAGGTTCAAATAATGGAAGTTCCTGTGTGTCCCTGTGTTACACCAACAGCAGTTTTAGTGTGAGTTTCGAGTTTGAAAAACAAACACCTTATTTGACTGTTTGCTTGTGTTGGCAAATTTCCAGCAAACCTTGATTTGAATAACTGTAAATAACTGCAGTGTCAGGCGTTAGCTTTCTAATTGTCCTATTTGCTCTCGGTAACTTGGTTAACCCTCAGTTCTATTGGTGGCTTTTTCTACTATTGTGTTTTACTCTGTCTTGTAAATACAGAAGTTGGTGTTTTTTCTCGAACAGACACAATGTCTATGAATGCTACATTAGTATCTCTGTGCCAAAGTCCAGGAGATAATTTCACAGCCTCCGTGTTCTCCTTCATTAACCTCCTTTTCTTTTCTTTCTTTTTTGTTTTTTTTCAGAACTCAACTGTAATGATGACACTGAGGTGCAGATGAACGGCAACACCCACTACGAGGAAATGGACGCGCAGCAGGACTCGTCGCAGCTCAACATGCGTGGGGTTTTCCTTCACGTGCTGGGCGACGCCCTGGGCTCCGTCATTGTGGTCATTAATTCTTTAATATTCCTGTTTGTGTGGCGGCCCTGCGGATCCGACAAGGACTGCGTGAACCCGTGTGTCTACGATCATGACTCCCACCTGCCGGTCAATCAAACGATGCTGCCCATGAAGAGTGCCGGGCCATGCTGGGTCCTTTACCTGGACCCGACTCTGTGCCTCTTCATGGTGACTATCCTGCTGTACACCACTTACCCTCTGCTCAAAGAGTCGGCCCTCATCCTGCTTCAGACTGTGCCCAAGCAGATCAACATCCACCGACTCAACGAGCGCCTCCAGCGTCTGAACGGCGTTCTGGCGATCCATGACCTGCACATCTGGCAGCTGGCCGGTAGCCGCATCATCGCCACGGCTCACATCAAGTGCCACGACCCCACGTCGTACATGGAGGTCGCCAAGCGCATCAAGGACTTCTTTCACAACGAGGGCATCCACGCCACCACCATCCAGCCCGAGTTCGTCACCTTCAGCTCCCAGTCCCGCGACTCGCTCTGCGAGCTCTCCTGTCAGACTCAGTGCGCCCCCAAGCTGTGCTGCGGCACAGCTGACAAACAGAGCTCTGAGAAGAAGGTGAGCGGCGACAGCAGGTCGGGCGCGGCCGATCCGGTGTTGGAGGTGATCAGCGAGAGCTCAGAGCAGGCGGCGAGCGTTCAGGTGTGCCCCGAGTCTGAGGCCAAAGTTACAGTCACCAAAGAGGCAGAGTCATCTCTGTGAGATGGGGAGGAAGTGAGGAGAAGCTGGAAGAAACCACCACTGTAGGAAGGTTTGATCCTGGTCACTGGAGGATGCAGTTGACCTCTTTGACCTGTAGTGGCCCTCAATCTGTTTTATTTTCTAATTGTTTTCCTCCTAACAGCAATGAATTCCCTCATTTAATGTTGTGTTTTATGCATTTGAGCCTCGTTTATCTTCACCATTCCCCCCGCCCCCCTTATTGCCCCCACCTCCGCTCACAGCCTCTCTCTTTTATTGTCTGTCACCCCAGTGGTGTGTTAGAAATGCATGTTGGTCTTCACCGACCTCCTCCACTTCTCCTGAACTGGAGCGAGTGCTGCATGAATGTCCCTCATTAACACGGTGTTGTAACACGTCGTCTTGTGGTCTCTCTGTGCCAAAGCTTCTCACTGCAGGACCGAACAATGTTGGAGATTTACTCTGCAAAAGAACACTTACACACACTTTTACACACACAAGTATACACACTTTTCACATGCAAGTCAGAGCACACATCACAAGGTTATTTTGTTCAGCCTATGGACCTGCGGGCCGGGGGGGTTTACCTTCTTCTGTTGTTGACGTAGGATTAGCACAGATCTATTTTCTTAGCCACTGGCCCTCGAAGGAAAAGTATTGTATTTACATAATAATTTAAATAAGTATTTAACTTATTAGGATTAATCTTTTTCTCTGTAGATGCTGTTTGTATTATTTAGTTTGGACTAAATAGAACTTCTTCTCTCTTTTTTTTTGTCATAGTTTAATGACAGACCATCTATGCTGTAGTCAGTTTTACAAAAATTAAGAATTTTTTATATGAGAAAAAACATTTAGGTTTGAGATGCTGTTATTAGTTGGATACAAAAGCCGTGTCAGCACCTCTCTCGCCTTGTCTTTAAAAAAACAAACGGATAAACAAATACAACTGCTGTGGTTGAACACTAAGAGCAGTCGTAAGGGAACTTTTCACATCGGCACAGTCGCGTCATCCATCGTTGGTTAAACTGTTGCCTTACAAGCCAGAGGGCGGGGTCTGTTGTAGGGGAACAATGAGCACTGTAGGACGTGGGTAAAACACACTTCTGTTGATACTCGACTCACACTTTCCTTCTTCTTTGTTGTTTTTTTTAAATCCTCAGAAATGTGCACAGTACCTCGCCACACAATCCTAGCTGTGAGGTTTTTTTTACACTATCAGAAAGACCTACAAAGATTGCATGACCAAACTCAGTCCTGATGTTTGTATTTTCCAGAGCTCCACTCAGCTCTGGTTGCTGCTTACCAGAACCTGCTGGTATCTGCCAACGTTATTCATAACCGTGTGAAGAGTTCTGTGCTCCGGATGCTGAGCGGGGAGTTTTCTGTCAATTTAAAGACCCTGAATTTTTCTTGATCTATGAAGATGTGACATTTGAAGATGATCCATTGTTGCATTTCAGATGTTCACTCCTAATTAATGTGTATGCAATATAGAAACGTGTGCTGGGAAATGTACTCGTTTATCTTCCCCATTCCCCCCGCCCCCCTTATTGCCCCCACCTCCACTCACAGCCTCTCTCTTTTATTGTCTGTCACCCCAGTGGTGTGTTAGAAATGCATGTTGGTCTTCACCGACCTCCTCCACTTCTCCTGAACTGGAGCGAGTGCTGCATGAATGTCCCTCATTAACACGGTGTTGTAACACGTCGTCTTGTGGTCTCTCTGTGCCAAAGCTTCTCACTGCAGGACCGAACAATGTTGGAGATTTACTCTGCAAAAGAACACTTACACACACTTTTACACACACAAGTATACACACTTTTCACATGCAAGTCAGAGCACACATCACAAGGTTATTTTGTTCAGCCTATGGACCTGCGGGCCGGGGGGGTTTACCTTCTTCTGTTGTTGACGTAGGATTAGCACAGATCTATTTTCTTAGCCACTGGCCCTCGAAGGAAAAGTATTGTATTTACATAATAATTTAAATAAGTATTTAACTTATTAGGATTAATCTTTTTCTCTGTAGATGCTGTTTGTATTATTTAGTTTGGACTAAATAGAACTTCTTCTCTCTTTTTTTTTTGTCATAGTTTAATGACAACCATCTATGCTGTAGTCAGTTTTACAAAAATTAAGAATTTTTTATATGAGAAAAAACATTTAGGTTTGAGATGCTGTTATTAGTTGGATACAAAAGCCGTGTCAGCACCTCTCTCGCCTTGTCTTTAAAAAAACAAACGGATAAACAAATACAACTGCTGTGGTTGAACACTAAGAGCAGTCGTAAGGGAACTTTTCACATCGGCACAGTCGCGTCATCCATCGTTGGTTAAACTGTTGCCTTACAAGCCAGAGGGCGGGGTCTGTTGTAGGGGAACAATGAGCACTGTAGGACGTGGGTAAAACACACTTCTGTTGATACTCGACTCACACTTTCCTTCTTCTTTGTTGTTTTTTTTAAATCCTCAGAAATGTGCACAGTACCTCGCCACACAATCCTATCTGTGAGGTTTTTTTTACACTATCAGAAAGACCTACAAAGATTGCATGACCAAACTCAGTCCTGATGTTTGTATTTTCCAGAGCTCCACTCAGCTCTGGTTGCTGCTTACCAGAACCTGCTGGTATCTGCCAACGTTATTCATAACCGTGTGAAGAGTTCTGTGCTCCGGATGCTGAGCGGGGAGTTTTCTGTCAATTTAAAGACCCTGAATTTTTCTTGATCTATGAAGATGTGACATTTGAAGATGATCCATTGTTGCATTTCAGATGTTCACTCCTAATTAATGTGTATGCAATATAGAAACGTGTGCTGGGAAATGTATTTTGGTGTTTCCTTCTTTGTATTGTTCACTTTTTGTCTTTTTAAGACATTCGAAATGTGCAAATTGAAAACAATTACTGCTTTTTATTATAGATATGAATGTCAGCTCATGTGTTTTTGAGATATGTACTGTACACATACATATATATCTCCGACGTGTCGTTGTGAAATAAAGATTACAACTGTTTGGTACAGTTTATAAACTGATGTTCTCTTTTGTCTCTTGGGGAAAAAAATTGGAAAAAATGTTTCATTGTAAAATATTTAGACTTTATAATCTCTGTATATATACACATACATACAAAGTATATTGCACATGTATATGTTTGTATTTATTTGTTCGTATATGTACATATATGTTGATTGAAAGTAAATTGTTTGTCTGTGACACAGCATTCAACAGAATTTGACCTCTGTGTTTTTCCCATCACCAAACAGGGGGCAGCTGAAGTGTCCAGGGGGCAGTGTGTGTGGACAGTGGGGATCAGCTGGTGGACTCGAACCTGAAACTTTCTGGACCCAAGTCTGCTTCCTTCCTTCCTTCCACCAAGCCCCCACTGCCGTGTGAGTATACATATCTGTGTGCATGTTTGTGCATGTATGATGTGATTATAAAACGCATTATGCAAAATGCAAATTCTAATTTAATCAAGTCTATTCTGTCATTCAAAAATGGCATGTGCTGACAATTGCCAAACACCCGACTGTTAACTTTTATTTTGCCTAAATAATGTTTAATGTTTACCTGGGTTTAAAAATAGCTTCTAATTAGCCTAGTCATACAAATTCTATCTCCATTTGCTTTACTATTATATTTCAACTTACCATTGTATATCTATTTTAAGTATATGTTTATGTAAATGTGTATATAGGTATGTGTGTCTGTTCATGTGTATGCAGAGTTGGATGTGTCTGAAATGTGTATATAGGTATGTGTGTCTGTGTATGTGTATGCAGAGTTGGATGTATCTATGTGTGTGGATATACTGTGTGTGTGTGCATACATATGTGTATGTATGGTGCTTATATGTGGACGTGGGCGTATGTACATGTGTATGTATATATGCATTTTTATAACTTATACGGCGTATGAATATATTACTAATATTTATCCTATATAATATTATATTGTGTATGTACAGTAGCTCTTAGTAATAATGGTTGTATAAGTCTGGTCGATATCTGCCTATAAAGCTAACTGTTGATCTAAGTTATCTATTTAACTACTACTTTTAACTATTTATACTGTTCATATATTTAAACTCTTTATATACCTGTTCACATAACATCCTCATAATTATACTCTGCTTAAATGAGTATTGTGTAGTGTTAGTGTGGTCATTCTTAACAATGGTTAACAATGGTATAATTGAAATATAATATAATTGCGATTGCAATAAAGTGCTATCTCTGTCTGTCTGTCTGTGTAAAATATGGTTAATTTTTGCACCAAAATAAACAAAAATGTTATAAATATGGCAGAAATGCATCCAGTTTACGGCTTAAAATAACTCTCTGTGAATTTGTACTGGGATTTGGAACATGATCATTTGGGTCAATTCACAGTTGAGACCATAATGATTATGTACGTGTTGTTCCGCAGGAGAGAACAACACCACGGCTGTGGTTCCTGTCAAAACCACAGATTATCCAAACAGTAATAATGGCGTTAAGTAGATGTGAGGAACAGAGCGTGGGTGAGTTGTCACGCTGCAGCCGCTGAAGTCCATAATTACTCACTTCTCCTCTGCTCCTCTCTGTGCTGGAGAGACTGGATCAGGTCTGTGGCTGAGCTGCAGTGGAAGTGGGTTCAGACTGAGACGCTGACTCAGTGCGGACGCTGTTACAGCAGCAGCAGTTGGTCCGTTGTGTAAGAGGCCCCGGGGATATTCCAAAGCCAACAAGCGCAGGGCTTTACCCAGAATTCCTCAGTGCTGCCGGCATGCTCCCCATTCGCCTTTCGTGTCCCTAATCTTCACGGGGGTTCGTGCTTAAAACGACAGTGGAGTGGACCATCGTACAGTCCGCTCACGTGTCAAACACAACACTATCACATTATTGTCAGATCTGGACTGCAGGCAGGACAGTGAACCACGCGGTGCACGTCTCACATGGTGTTCTCTGACGCCGTGTAGCCCAGAGCTGTTGCTAGCTAGCCTGCTAATGAAATATTTGTTGACCTTTTGACTTTTGACCAAAAGGCAGTTAATTCACGAGGTCATGTTGTCCTCATGTTGAATTATAGATGTACAGTAGAACAGTAGACGACTGACGATGCAGTGACTTTCACTTATCAGAGTCCAGACTTCGATGCTATCAGCTGTTGGAGAATTGTATCTGTTTACTTTCTGTATGTCTGTTCACGGACTGGAAACCTGGTCAGACTGGACTGGAGTGTGGAAACACTGGGGGGGCTCAGGATAATCTCAGTGAAACCAGCACACGGTCATGTGGGTCAGTGTGTCAGACAAACAGGAATGGTGAGCTTTGAGTCCAGTGGTTCGACCCATAGAAACATGAACCCAGTGTCAGCTCAGTGTTTACATAATGGAAGGATCAGATGAGATAGTTGCCTTGGTAAGATTTTTTTTTTGACAGTGTAAGAAACCTAACAACCGGTAAATGTTTAGTCGCCAAACTTGGTGACTAAACATTTACCTTGGGAGACTTGGTGACTTGGGTTTTTTTTTTTTATTTAGCTTGTTGTGACATAATTAGCTGATACTAGTACATATCCTTCAACCAGCGGGTGTCAGTGTTTCCCCCAAACTCCCTACTATAACTATGATATGATACTCTGATATACTGCTATGTAATATATATTATTATTTATTATTTTGGTTCTATTCTATTTAACGTTTTCAAATCATATACAGACCCATGTACATTTTTAGGACCGCCTTGCTGAAACTCCATGGACTCCTTATGAAAATTCGTTCTACATAGAGTTTGTCTGTGCTTTGTGCCTTAATTAATTTCTTTTAGTGCCAACTTGAGGATCTCATGTAGACCATGGCTTGGTCTCTTAGAGCAGATTGTTAGCGATGTGCTGTGGTTTCTGTAGAAAAGCCGACGGTTTGATTTACATAAAAGTCCCAGCAGTAAATTGCTGCTTTGACACTGGCAGCCGTTGTAAACAGATACTTTGAAATCCTGTGAAAGTTTCTCTCACACTGAACAGACACTGGTTCTTCCACAGAGACCGCTGCGACCGTGCCAACCTTCCTGACTTTGGCCCATAAATGTAGCCCACACCAAGGCTCCACTCACTGGCAGCCAAACAGCTTCTCTGTTGATGCTGATGAATCCTAATGTTCAGAAGCAGGTTCATAAAAAACCAGCGCAGCCTCCGAACTGCTGCTCTTAAGACGTGACAGAAGAGACGAATAGATATATGAACAGTTCCAGAGGAAAAACTCTGAGCCCACGGACGACATCAGTGATGTCATCAAGGTCTCTCCAGGCGGGAGAAGTTCACAGAGCTTTAATCTGCCTGTGGATCTCAGAGAGGGATTAAAAAAGACTGGAATGTTAACCCTCGCTGGTCTGGATGATGATGATGATGATGATGATGATCAGCAGGGGAGGCAGTTTTTAATCCCTCCTCAGTCAGTCGTTCACAGTGGTGGTAAATGAGGTTTGTTCCAGTGATTGTTGATTTGCAGTGAAGTGTAAACTTAATTGAATTATATTTGCAGTCAGAAGGTCATGGGTTTGATGGTTCGATCACAAATTTTTTTTTTCTAAAACCAAAACTCAGTGATAAATATTTTATTATCTTGTTAAATTGGGAATATTAATCTACAAAAAGCCACAGCTGCGGGAAAATGAATCATAAATGTGGTGGTCTGTGTGTGTGTGTGTGAGAGAGAGAAATGCTGGATTATTCATGATGTGGATTATAAATAGAAAAGGGATCAGAGTGTCTGTGTTCAGCTGGAGGTGTGGAGTTGATTCATGATTCCTTCCATGACAGATATTAATCAGAGCCAGTGTTTTCACAGGGCTGTGAGGGAGGACGAGGGGTTAATGATTCACCGACAGCAGGGGCCGCTCTGTGCTGCCTCTCAGACTTTGATCACACGTTTGATTGGGTTCAATAATGAATCCCTCACCGACTGCCCCTCAGCCTCAGCACCTGCCCTGCTGTCATTATCCAATCGTCACACAGGTGAGATAAGTCAATTCCAACACCTGATACCGGCGTCCATGTGCACGTGTCAGCCGTTATCAGAAACACTGAGCAGTCAGTGAGGACAGAACCAGAACGACATCAGGGTTTTCTTAGCTCTTTTCCTCTTTTAAAAATGTCTTCCACTTTTTCATGTTTTTTTTTTTGTAATTCTAGAATTCCATATTTAAATTAGAAACTCATCTTCACTACAACTTTATCTTTTGTTTAACTTCCTAGAAATGTGTTTCCAGACTACAATCTTTTGTAGCTGAGATTAGTCGGCATAACATTGAACTTTGAGGCCATGCTAACCGCTAGCACAAAAATATCTTTATCGTCTCTGATCTGGAACTCTAGTTTAATTGGCATTCAGAGAAACACGACACCGTCACTGTATGACTTCATGACTTTGCATTCTTCTTGGACAATTTTCTCCTGCCTCATAAAGAAAGTGAACACTTGTGCCGTTACACAACCGTTCTGAACTTCCTGCGACCGGCCAAAGTCAACACCCTCCTCCTTTTGGTCGTTTGACACGGACGGACGTCCAGCAGCGTTAACGCTGCTGTTTTCTTCTCCGCTCCCTTGTTTACCACTCACACGAGGGCAGAGGAGGAAGAGGGAAAACAACTGGGTGAAATACAACCCACAGGATCTGATCTGGTTCTGATTCACTGCGGCCGCACACAGACCCACTGAGCCACAGCTGCAGGAGCAGGGCTGATAAAAGTGGCTCCAGGCCTCTGATACACACAGAATCAACAAAAGAAGCTCCAGGCCTAAGGATTATGCAAATGACAGATGACACACACATTTATAATTGATTTGTGCTGTAGGATCTGGTGCCTTAGAAAATTTATGAATTCTGTGGTAAATTTGTTTATTTTAGTCCTTCATATTCAACTAATAATTTAAATAATGTTTTTTTATTTCTTTATTTTCACACAGCATCATTCATGTTATTTATTCTGTTGGTCACACGACTGCTTTATCTTTACAAACCCTTACATTTAGTGAGTTTATTGGAATCGTAGATCATTCAACCTCATGGTTACTGTACAATCCTGATTGTACGTAATCTATACAACACAGTTCTGTGAAGGGCATCGAGGACTGTGACCCTGTAAAATACCAGACCTTTGGATCCTCTTCAGCCTGTCTTTACAGTTTGTGTGCGTCGCCTTATCAAAGGCCTTGGGTCTTAAGGAGCAGTGAGAGTTTTCAGTTCCGGCACATTCTCCGACCTCGGTCCACCGCTGTCCTCTGCTGAAATGTGACGCTGGACAAAGGCCAATGAAAACAGGGGACGTCAGCAGAATCACTACTGTGTTTTCTTTCCCTCTGCACTCATGTGATGTGCACTGAGCTTCCTTCCCTAAACTCACTCTGTTTTGTCATTTTCAGTTATTTTTACTTTGTCTTTCTTAGAAAACAACACAGAAATAATATGTGAGTTGTGGTGCGTTCAAGCTGTGGTTCTCAAATGATCCAGCCTGGGGACATGCTTTTTTTTCTGGAGTCATTAGGACATGATACAAATGAATTATTTATTATCATATATATACGTATCTGTCTATCTACCTATCTATGCATATATGTATATATGTACAATGTATAAACATGTACTGTACATATATCTACATACACACATTTATGTATATATACAAATATATATACATTGCATACATTATATATATATACATCTACACATATAAGTTGCATAAACACACACAGACACAGTTTTGTATGAAATACAGTGGTTAACAGTTATTATGAAGGAACAACTGTTGAAACAACAGTTTCTTAGAACTTTGTGTTGCAACCATCATCATATGACTTGTCTTTACGTCATTTGTGTGTTGGAGTCCGACACGTGTTTATTTTAGGAGCCTCCTGACAATCGAACAACACTGACATCCACTCAAGGATTCACTCCCTGAGTGTTCTCCACTGCTGTGTTTCTATGTGTCTGATATTATCGCTGTGTCCTCTCCCACCGCACTTTGTTGTTGGAGCCGATTACTTCAGGAATGTTGTTTGTGAATAAATGTTTTTGCAGTAGGTGAGGCAGCGGTGGTTTATTTAGACAGAAGTTTCTCACTTTTCATTTCAGGAACGCCAAGAATAAACACCGAGAAGCATTTTGTCCTCCACCCAAAACCTGCACGGCCCAGCTGTGCAGGTTATTTTGTCAATAATTTAATTTAAAACTAAGTAACATCTGTTGCAGAAACATGAAAGTGATGACCACTTCTGCAGCCATCTTATATTTGCACCTTGTGAAATCCCGCCATCTAGTGGTTTGTTTGAATCCTGACAAACGTCTGCCATTCACCTTTTTTTCCTCTAAGAGCTACTTTTACAAAATAAAAATGGCCAAGAGCTACCCATGTTGTCTCACATTAACTTTCATTGCTCATTTCGAACAAACAAATATCATTATTATTGTATAATGGTATTGTTGACAATAGATGTCTATTTTGTTCATATTTCACAAGGGCAGTTAAGCGTAGGGACACATTTTATGATGGAATCTTGTCAGGTAATGAAGTCGGTTGTTCGGTTTAGCTCCGCCAACAACGAGGTCCGGCCAATAGGTTTTCGCCCTCTAGTGGCTCAAACACGAAACCGCACACATCATTGGGCCGCCCGTTTCGGCGGGAAGTTAAATAATATTGTAACCTGTTGGGAATTTGTTACCGAAATAACTTTTATTTATTTTTTATTTTTATTTTGTTTAGTTTTCAGTTTTTCTCTTAGCCATAAAAAGAAGAACTAAATATAAATTACACAATAATTTACCAGTAACGGACACTGAATGTTTGCATATTATTCATCGTAATACATTTGACATGTTGATTTTATTGGTTGAATCACAGCTTTAAACGTGTATTTGCCTGCTGTGGGAAGGTTTTATCGCAGAACATCTTCTCATTTATATGACAACAACAACAATATTATTATTATTATGTTCCTATTGTTGTGCATTTCTTTTATCGGCAACTCTGCAGTTTGTAGTAAATATAGTACAATTGACCGATGTTTGGCGCAAAGAAGACGGAAACGGAAGCGCCGTTTACAGGAAGTCAACGTTTCCACCAATGGCAGAGGGAGACGCAAGTTTAGCGGGGGATTCAGTAGTTAGTATTCAGTGGACCTGTTAGCGGGAAACGACAGTACCCACAGAACCAGTCCAACAGAAGCAACAGACACAATATCAGTTTTCTCTTTAATTCTGCACAATCCTACCAAAGATCGGGTGGTACCACGGAGCAGGGATGTTGTTCCGATCTATTGTTGACAGACGACTGGGGAGTCGAAAGCAAAATGGTAAGAATAAACTTTACAAACTACGGTATCCGTGTAGGAAATACGTTTATATTTGTTGTTCCGATCTATTGTTGACAGACGATTGGGGAGTCGAAAGCAAAATGGTGAGAATAAACTTTACGAACTACGGTGTCCGTGTAGGAAATACGTTTATGTTCGTGCAGCTTATTGTTTAACATCGGTGATTACTTTAACAACATAAAATTAGCTCACGATCCGCTCAGCGTTAGCTGAAATGCAGAAATAGCGGAGTAGAATGGATGTAGAAACAATGAGAAGACATAACCGAAACAATGTAAATGGCTGTAGGTGGAACAAAGCCCATGCAGATAAAAACATGTATTTTAATCCAACGATCTCTTGTCGTTTTCTTCTAAATTAACAACACAACCACGCTGACTGTATGTGGATACACATTAGGTTTACGATCACAGCTTCTTGCAAAAAGTTTATTTTTTTCTCTCTGTCGAAACTGTCTGTTTTGCCTCAAAATGGCTGACGGGAGATCCCAAAATAAAGTGCTTTATCTGCTTTAGTTTAAATAGACACTAGTCATCTGTCACTGTCCGATATTTATAACATCGGACCTTAATTCGCCTTAATTCTTCATCTTTAAGTTTGCCATATACTCTCATCTTTTAAGCGAAAACGGAGTGAAAACTTTTTAAAAGAGTGAAAATATTACGTTACGAATTGTATTACGCAACGTCAGTGCTAAATGTGATGCAGATTAAATTATGTTATTCAAAAATCAAAGTGTCTGACTTGAGTTTTATATATATGTTTCTTTATTTAATATTTATTTATTCTTTAATCTAGCCCTCACTGCAGAGCCTTGGCCCAAATTTCCACTGAGTTCACTGCTGAAGGGCTTCCAGTGTATTCGACACGACGAACACATCTCATATGGGAACCTGGGTACCTCTGTGCCTCCGTTTGGATTGGCCTTCTCCTCAGGTAACTCATGTGCTTTTCACAATATAATGGTAGACAAAATGTATGGCTCTTTTCATGTGTTTCTCTTCGGCTCTTTAATCTGATCACTGTCATCTTTGTTTAGCTGGAGATTTGCAGAACATCCTGGCAGTGGCGAATGAAGAAGGAATTGTCAGGATCTACAACACAGAGAGCAAAAATAACACACTTCTTAAAGGTTTGTGCCAGACTCCTTCATGCATGTATCCCTGGTTGTTATTAAGTTACAGAAGCTAATGGTGTGTGATTTGTGCAGAATGGCTGGCTCATGAAAATGCTGTCTTTGACATTGCATGGGTCCCAGGAGAACCTCACATGGTAATGCACTGTTTATATTTGGAAACTGCGTCAAGTGCTGAAGTATTTATTGTTTGTGATGTGTAGAACTGTCTTTGTTAATAAAGTACATTGTACATTCTTCTGGCTGCGTCCTCAGGTGACTGCTGCAGGTGATCAAATGGCCCGGTTGTGGGATGTGAAGTCGGGAGAAATGTTAGGCAGCTTTAAAGGTCACCTCTGCAGCCTCAAGTCAGTTGCATTTTCACCTCAAGAAAAAGGTATGGAGTACATAAGACTGCAGACATTTGAAGAATATGACAACAGATCAACTTGGTTTAGATTGATGAAGGCAACAAAGAATAATATCTGGATGTTTGGGTAAAACAAACCCCATAAAACATGTTCAAATGTTGTGATATGGGTTATTTGTGTTTAATGGTAATAATTGGATTTATGGAATTTTCTATTTGTTTACATAAAACAGCTGTGTTCTGCACTGGAGCGAGAGATGGAAACATTATGGTCTGGGACACCAGATGCAGCAAAAAAGGTAGGTAATCTGGATTTAAGAAAAATAATGGCTTAAGTGGTACGTACTGAGAGTTTAATCCTTTTCTGATTTGCTCTGTAGATGGTTTCTACAGACCAGTTAAGCAGATCTGCGGCGCTCACAACAAAGCAGAGGCAAACCCTCCGTCGAAGATAAAGAAGCGACGCAGCAGCACGCGAGGAATGGCTCCCAGTGTGGTGAGTTTCTGTCGTTTCTGAAGTCACATCAGGGCCGGGGCTGATGCCAGGTGAACCCACGGATGTACGGGAAGTTTAAGCCATTTCTTCTTTGTTATTGCAGGACTCCCAGCAGAGTGTCACAGTGGTTTTGTTTCAAGATCAGCATTCTCTCATCTCATCAGGGGCAGTTGATGGGTAAGAAAGCTTATGTCATGTCAATCTGTTTTTTTTTGTAAAATTAGATTCAGATTCATGAAACGTTATTTAAACTCACAGACATTTAGAGCAAATTAGAGCACAAAGGGTGAATTTAAACACAAATAATTTTCTCATCAGAGTTATCAAGCTGTGGGACCTGAGAAAGAACTACACGTCACACCGTCAGGACCCAATCCCAATGCAGACGTATCCATACCCGGGTTCGTGCATGCGTATGAGGCTGGGTGAGTTGAAAGTTGGACGCCAATCGCTTTTCGACAATGCTGTGAGTTAATTCAAAGCTAAATTTGGTTTTGTATTTGTTGCAGGTTATTCTGGCCTCGTCCTGGACTCATCACGTTCCAATGTGATGTGTAACTGCACGGACGACAACATCTACATGTTCAACATCAGTGGAATAAAGACAAGTCCAGGTAAACAACAGCAAAACAGGCCCATTACCTGTTGGGAACTCGCGCAATTACCATTTTATACCACTAGATGGGGCAAAAAGACGAGTCTAGACTATAAAAAAAGTAGCATTCGTGACGGATGCTTACAGATATCTGGGACAATTTCCCCTTAAATTAACTCCAAATAAAGTGTAAAATGACATTCTATATTTTTAACATATAAACCAGGTTATATTCTATAAAATGACAATAAGTACTGTAATTTTCTCCAACAACTACACATAAGCCCCTAAATACTTAAG